GTGCATTACTGATATAATAGAAAAATTATAAGCATAGTGGTTAAGCGATTATCACAATGCCCCACACTACGCTGAGGGTTGCGTCTGTACGACAGGCGACGTAGCCACGCGCGTGGTGGTGGGAAAGCAGATCTGCATCATCATGCAAATTTGACCATACTAAAGTTAGGTTCTCTGCATGTAGGCGCATCATGGGGGCTGCAACACTGCCTGTGAATAGGTTTTTAAGTGTTGCCCTATGCGTGTTTCAAAGCAAAAAGAGATCATCATCATCTGCAGCCTATTAATATCCCCACTGCTGGGGCACAGGACTGCCCTATGGATGGAATAGGGAGATTGGGCCATGGCCTATTAATATCTCCACTACTGGGGCACAGGCCTTCCTTTGAATGGAATAGGGAGATTGGGCTAGACCCACCATGCGTGTCCAGTACGGATTGGTGGGTGCAGATGCAGCAGGGACCAATGTCTTAACGTGCCTTGCAAAACACGAAGGACCTCAATTTTTGGTCACCCATCCACTGCGAAAGTTGCTTAACTTTTCAAAGATTGCAACTGAACACGCTAACATCTTGAGATCCCAGCAAGTACATTAAAAACACGCACTCCTGTGCTATGCTATGCTGCATGAGGGGGTACAGTGTGCAAATTGCCTTAGTAAATTTGCCCAAATGGTGAAAGGTGTTGGTTTGATTCCAAACTAATAAACATCCTGGCAAACTTCTTTAGTAAATTTTTTTTTTCTTCTTTCTTCTTTAGCAACGAAATGAAGCCTGTGCAGAAGCAATTTTACATATAAAAATGTATACTGTGCATGTATGGTTTTGCTCAAGAAATTTGCTGGGACCTGCCGGGGGTAACCTGGAGTCACCAGGATCCCACGAAACCCGTTCCAGCAGGCGAGGAAGCACTATTGGGTTTTTAGTAGGTATAGAAACATGAATATTACTGATTAGCAAAATTAAACAAAGAGAATTGTTTAATTATAATGATAATGTTTACAAAATTATAAATTGATTTAATAGTATATTATTTTTCTAATTTTTCTACTAATTAGAAATACATGTGTTGATCATGTGTAATTATGTCTGTTGTTTAATTTGAATCAATAATTTCTGGGTGGTATGCAGTATTTAAAACAATAACAAAACAAACCATCTGGACATGTGTGAAAAATCTATTTATAACTTACAGAAGTCATGTTTGATAATTGATTAGCTAGTGTATAATAGCTATTGGATACTAATATTCTTTTAGTTAAAAAATATATATATAAAATACTGACCAAACTATTTGGATTGCTTTTATACAAATTTTAACATTTAACACTGGTTTTCATTTTAGTTTTATATTAAAATAATAACTACAAGATTAAATGAAATATTTTAAAAGTACTTCAATTTACAATTCCATTAAAATGTTTTGTTTGAAAATATTACATGACAGGATATTTTATGGAAACAATAAACAAATGTAAATTTTTTCCTCATTTTGATTCTGTTGATAAGAAATAACTTTTATTTACTTAACACATATGCTTTATTTTCCAAGTTAAGCACAAAAGGATGAATGCACTTACTGGATTATTGTGTTAATTAACGATAATTAAATGCGGCGAACCCGCAGCGGTTATAAAGAACATAATAACACATTTGCACGTTTTCTCATAGCTATGAGTCATTGATCTGTGCTCATATTGCTAACAGATGGGATACCAAGTTATAACGTAAACAAATGCTCTAAATTTACAAATAGTAGACTAAAAAGTTTATAGTACTTAACAGCACTACTTACTTCTTCGGAAGTAGGAGGAAGATCAGTCGACAACGAAGACCCTCCTTCTGAATGGCTGTAAATACTTCGAAGTAGCGGCAATCCGATCGCGCACAACCAAAACGAGAAGTCACATCACTTAACACCCACGATAACAACCTTTCACGTCCATTTTGTACGATAATTCCAATTAAAATATATAATTATTTACATTACAATCACATGTTAGCACTAAGAGCCAATTTTACGTATATCTTGAGAAAACTTATATTAATTTAGTCATTGAAGGTGCTCGTGCATCACTCGCGGCAAGATAGTGACAGACAGGATCGAATAAATTTATAAGTTATTAAACCAAGCAATTGTAAATAGGATACGTAGGTAGAATACAACAAACAGAAAAAGCGGTGCACAAAACGGGGAGAAAAGCTTCGAGTTGAAGTTAAATTCGATATTGCCATATGTTAATTATTATTTTCTACTATAGTAAAATAATATTTTGTATTCTACTTGGGAAATTTTTCGAAGTGCTCGATTAATTAATTTCCCAACCACACCATTAGTTATTCTCTAGATACTTAGATAGCTGTTAATGTTTTTAAACTACCAAAGATGTTTATCCTACTTACTAATCTACTTTACTTTATAGTAGCGGCACGCGTTGATGATTATTTTTACGTTTGTGCGCCTTAGAGCAAAGTTGTGCGCACATGAAGTTTCATATTCTATATTTGAAATAATGTAGTTTTAAATTTTAAATAAATAATTATTGATCATCGTGGATGATCACGCATTGCGTCATAAAATTGACTAGGTACTACAGAATATGATTCCGGAAACGTTTGATTTCACGTTTAAGCAATTAAATATAAAAAATACGTGAAACACCGATAATTAATTAACAGATTATTAAAAGGATTAAGTAAAAAAAAATATTGTTAATACGACCACACAAAAACTACTTAGTAGATTTAGATGGATGAAATTGAGTACATAGTTTATTATTCTGAATCAACAGGAATATATTAGCTGTTTCTTTAAACTATAAATGTACGTAATATGGTTTCCATTGTGTTATGTGTAGAATTTTAATACTTAGTTTATTGCTATATTGATATTAAATAGCAATAAACTATCGGGGGACTTCTCTGTCTTTGCGATTTGAAAGCATATCTTGTATGCACCACGTCCCTTCCTGAAATTACTTTTTAATAACAACTTGTAGCGACTTTGTAGATCGTAATCTGACCGTCATGGATTTTTATAAGAGATGCATCGATACAGATTAATAAAACAACTTGTTGGGATTAGGATTTTTAATTAGATGGAATATAAGTAAAGCTACTTATTAAGTTATATCAAAAATCTTTATTAAGTTCTCATTAATTTAAAACAAGATATAAATCTACTATATAAAAATAAGTCGGGTTTTCCTTCCTGACGCTATAACTCCAGAACGCACGAACCGATTTCCACGGTTTGCATTCGTTGGAAAGGTCTCGGGCTCCGTGAGGTTTATAGCAAAGAAAATTTAGGAAAAATTTCAAAAAAAAATTCTTCTTTTAATCACCAAACGAAATGTTATATAAAACGAAGCCATCTGATGGCGAAACGGAGTTCGCCTGGTTTGCTAGTCATCTATAAAAATCAACAACGCAACCCCCTTCACGATATGAGCGTCTACTACCACACGTAATAATGTCACTGTAACTGAGTGATGTTTGCATTTTGTGACTAAAATGTCCGGCTTTTTGTCAGGACTTTTCAATTTTTTAAATAGTTACCCTAGTTGCGATAGTAATTGAGATTGCGTATCTCTCACATGTTGTTTAGACTTTTTAGCTTCCTTTCTATACCTGTCCGGACTAGATTTACATGACGATGATTCTGAATTTGAAGTTGAAGCACTGTGGCGTCGTTTTCGAGAATTATCGTTGTCTTGATCACCGTCACTTTTTTCCATCACGGAGAGAAAAAAAATTCAACATTTCTTCAAATAAGTAAAATATACTAATAATTAACTTGAAAAAAACATATGTTTCTTTAGACCGATGCTTACGCTAAGAAACACGACGAACGCTATAATGAGGTGAAAATTTAGTGATAAACATTATCTAACTTCCCGCTAAAACTAAACCAAGAAGGAGCCATTTGCACGGGAAATACGGAGGGCGATACAGTAGACCGATAATCGCTATGAAGTGACAGTTGCCTAACTCAAGACAGATTCCGAATATCAAATGGAACAAATAATACTTAACTATAAAATAAAATGAATAAAGTAATTACAAATGCAAAATTTGATTTTTTACTTAATCTTAATATTGATGTAATAACCGACAAACTGATACAAAGATACAAATAAATTCTATAAAACTAAAATCGTAATGCATTCGTATTGGGCCATTACGATATATTCGTCATGCGTATTGGTATTGTAATAGACGTATCGTCGCTACTAAGTTAAAATAACTTTTAATAAAAATACTACTACTTTAGGAGAATGCAATAACTTGGCAAGAAACCTAAGTTCTCTTGCTTGATTCGATACATGAATACATCTATAAAAATTATTAAAGGCCTACCTACTGAGCTACAAAAGTAATTTTGATTTAGAAATACAAAATCAGCGTAACCCTTAGTTCATTTATTAATTAAATTACAACAAGAACGTACATCAAGAAATAAAAATATTTTTAAGTTCTTCCTTACTGTGATGCCATCTCTGGAAAAAAGGCCAAACAATTACGTTACTATATTAGTCTTATTAATACCACAGTCAGTTTGCAGATGGCGCTGAGCATTTAAATCCATCTCATCTCAGAAAAGCAATTTTAATATTATTTTTTAATATGACTGTGACTGGAATATGTACTAAATATTTATTAAACTTTCTTATAGATTAAAGAGTTTAAAAGTCGTTGTAATGCACATAGTACTATAGTTTTTATGATAATTTTTATTTTATGTATTTCAAAATATGCATCAAGAAGTAAAGAATATAATATCATTATTTTAGATAATAATTATACCGAACACTTGAAGTCTTAACCTCAATCTAATTAAGATAATATCTAAAATTCTTTAGAAATCAATTCATTAAAAATAACTATGTTCAAGAAAAGTAATAGAGGAAAACCATCTCTTGCTTGGTATTTTACATTTTATTAGAAAAAGAATCACTTAAATTAATATATACACTCTCTCGAGTCTCTCAAACACCGATTAGAAAACAATTTCATCAATAATTTGAGGTTATGTTTATCTTGTGGAAACTGTGGCTTCTTTTCTGGCGGCATCTTGAAGAAGCTGTGTGTCCACCTCGTCTGCTGGCAGCTGCACGTACCGAACAACAGATCCACGAATGAAACAGTTCTTCACAGACAGCATATGAGGATATTTATCAGGATCTATTACGCTTATGTCTGATAATTTTATGTTCAGATACTGATCCACCGAATGGAGAGTGCCGCATATGCTTAGATCATTTTTAAGCTCCACAACCACGTCTTTGCCAACTAACGACTTGAAGAATGAGTAGAATAACATTTTCTTGTGAATACAAACAAAATTGATATGCTATTGGAGTGGAATTACAGCAAAACAAGCGGCAATTTCTTCTCTTCCACCCGAGATCGTTTCAGTTTGTATTGTAAAATGTCAATGTCAACATGACATTTAGATATCTATTTTTTTAATTTATATATTTTTTTTGAAGGCAAAAGCAAAGCCATACAGTCAAATCAAATTAAATTGCGTGTCAGTCACCACTTCTACTAGACATCTAGACTAGATCTAAAGACAAACGGAATAAAAATGCGCTTTCCACCTTCATGAAAGAAGGATTCATGAACCATAATGACACTAAGCCTGCTCACCAAGTCTTCAAACAAGCTGTAAAACTTGATTTAGATATACCTATAAGAAGGTAGCTTTCATACAGTCAAAAATTAAAACGTTAGTAGTGAATTCTAAAGCACGGAACGTGGTCCTGTGTGTCATTTTTTTTTAATTTATTGGCAATGGATATCCTGTGTGTCAATAGTAGCAATGTGACCAGACTTAGTATTTTAATACTTTTTGTGTGTTTTGACGAAGTTATTTGACCGTGAATATTGATGCTTTAGGAATTGAAGCCCGTTTTCCATCGCCAAAGAGGCATGAACTAGGAATGTTTAGCGGAGCGGTCTTCGTGTGCGTGAAATAGGATTTCTTTTCTACCGAGAAGGATTTCGGGTCTATTGATTTTCTTTTCAATTATTTTTATTCCTTTTCGGCTCTTTGTCATTTTTGCTCGACTAAGTTGTTCAAAACAGATGTATACATTTTTATGTTGCAAAGTTAACGGAGTCATTAATGTGGCTAGTGTAGCGTGTTCACTGCCAGCGGTGGAAAACCCTCTGTAGTTTATAATGTAGCAAAACAATAGGAATTTCCCGTATAATAAAGTTCTCAAAGACTAAAATTTTTATAAGCTAATTGTTGCTATTTATTTTATTTATTTATTACAGCTTACCCATGTCTTATTTTGTTGTTCCGTGATTTAATATTAAAATAAATTTTAAATAAAATAACAGGCGGTTGCTATTGTAGAATGATTAAACAATTGTACATGATACTTATACTATTTTCAGTAAGTTGATACACATGGCCTCTGGTCGACCTTTCCAAAAAATTCAAATGCAGTTTTTAACATGCGGTCTCAATAAATCGAACTTATAGATAAATTATATTAGATATTTTACATGTAAAATTTAAGGTATTTGCCAGATTTAAAATTATCGAACTAGTTAGGCCAACCAACGATACAGATATATTATTATAATAATAGGTATTTTCGTAAGATTTAATCTGGTCACACTTGTCCATGGTTTTTTTCATGGATGACATTTCGTTTTGGCTTTCGGTGAAGTGGATAAATAAACTAATTACCCTATAAAATTACTACTTACCTATAATTCTAAGATATTTAGCTAAATAATAGTTTACGTAAAGTGATATTTTTTTGCCAATACTTCCAACTATAGTGCCGAGAAACTATAAATTCATAACCTCTAAACGGACGCTTTCGCGTCGCCGTTGCCAAAATGACTGCTACTCCTGCTGTTACCGAAGAAAATGCAGAAATAGTAAGTAAATTTATTAGTTTAGTAAATTCAAATGAAGTAATCTATCAAACTTGTCCTGTAGATGATCATTTATGTTATTTTCATTGTGTGATGTCGAACGGTATTTTGCTGTAGGGAAATGCTGCCGATATTCAAACAATTTTTGTGTAGGATGCCTCAAATAATCATTATTTCATACGTCATTGTCAACTGTGAATAAAAACATATTTATTATATTATTATTCTTTGGGCAAATCCCGAGGAAGCCATCACTGAAGAAATTGAATATTCTTTTCTTTTTGTTTTTTTAGGATTGGGGAAATGAAAGGTTGACTAGAGCACAGCGTGCCGTTGAAGCGAATGTGTACGATGTGGATTCCTGGTCGTTGCTGATCCGCGAGGCTCAGACTAGGCCCATAAACGAAGTGCGGTCTATGTACGAGAAGTTAATCACAGCGTTCCCTACCACTGGCCGCTTCTGGAAAATCTACATTGAACAAGAGGTATGAATATGACAAAAACCTTATCTTTGAGTTGACTGTACTTAGTGATGTTTGCAAACATCAACACAATAAATGGAGATAACACAAATCAAACTACTGAAAATAGACTTTAGAGGTTAATAACTTCAAAACGAATAGAAATTTGTATTTCATTACAATGTAATAATACATCTATTTAACATGCCATTTGAATAACTGTTCTTTAAGTGTCTGTAAAGGTATACACTCTGAAAAACTTGTTCAGGAACGACCATAGACTAGGAAACATGTGCCACAACCACTCCCGCACTCCGGTGCGCATTGGGGGGACCTCGGTCCCCAGAATGCGTGCCGGGTGAATGGTGCAGGAGCATTGTCTGGTTTTTAGTGGCCCTGTCCAGGGCTATAGATAGGGCCCTGCTCATTTTAACCATCCCAAGGGCTGGCTGAAATGAGCAGGGAGGAGTCCCACATACCTTCTCCTCGCTCCTCCGGTGGTTGAAGGATGCTTAAGGCATTTCCCAGACACAAAAAAAAGACTAGGAAACCTGTGCAGTAGCAATGTTACATACAAATACGTCTACTGCGCTAGTTTATTTGTCTGTGTTTTTCTCAAGAAGTTTGCCGCTACCTATAGTCTAATTTTATATATCGACAGAGGTAAATCAAAATCGCTTATACCTAGGGTTGCTAGATGCTGGCTTATCATTTACGGGACTTCCCCCAACCCCCTTAAAAAATAAAGCATCACATCAACCCCCCCATCACCTCCCATAGTTAAAACATCAAGCAGGCCAGCGGTGTCATTCGTTATTATGTATTTTGTTACAAAACTAGCACATTATCGGAATCCAGGACAATATTATCTAATTACTGGACATGGGACAATATGCAAAATTCCGGGACAATCCCAGATTACCCGGCCATCTAGCCAGCCTACTTATACCCCACTTTGGTATTGCTTAAAAATTAACCTAATTACCGCTTTTATTCAATGTAAGCAAACCAAAGTGCATATAAGCTCTTTTGCTTTTCCACTGTCGATATATTCAAATTAAAACAGGAAATGAGAATGAGAACAAGACTGAATCATTCCTTAACTTAATATAGACTCATAGAAGTTTCTAAGTAATGTGTACATCTTTCTATTTCAGATGAAGGCGAGAAACTTTGAAAAAGTAGAAAAGGTTAGTAAATATGTCATATAGGTAAATATATTGAACATTAAAGATAATAGATATACATCAAACTGTGATAAAATAAACATTGATTTTTGACCAGGAAAACCTAAGACTGATTTAGATGTAAGCTTTAGTTGTAAGATTGAATAAAGTGACGACACATATGAAAGAAAATGTTTTTTTTCGGCTAGGGTGTCTGTGTGTTCAGACATGTTGGAGGTGACTTTATCAGACAAAAGTTATTTATGAATATACTTAATGAGTGATTAAAACAAAAAAGGTGTTAAACTTTCAATGAAACCATTGTTTTAACTATTCTTGAACTTCTATAGTCATAGGAACATAAATTAAAACTTGATTATTAATTTTAAAATGTTATTGCTGGTAAATTACTTAGGTGATTTAAAAAATATACAACCTTCTGGCTTATAAAGTGTTAATTGCAAAATTATTGCAAATATGATAATTTTATACATTTGTTTGTTAAGGTCACTTTCGACATGTAAAAAATCCCTGATAAAATAGTTTAATCTCCAAATATATACACATATATATATATATATTTATTTACTTAGTATAGTTGTTATTTTATTTATTTATGATACTGTTTAATTTTTTTTCTGCTGAAACTATATCTTATATTATTGGATAAGAACATAAGGATTGCGAGTTTAGGGACCGGGATTTCCCGGAACCATTATCTAGTACCTACCTATCCTTATCCTTACATCAATGAAAACAGAGTGAATTAATTAAATAAAATGTTTGAATGAATACATATTAATTTGTTAACAGTAAGATTGCAATTGCCATTATCTAAATATGTAGCTGTGCTTTCGAAATTTTTTTATTTTTTCAAATTGACGATTATATTACTACTATAATACTCTCCAATCGCAAATTCGTAAAATTCTTGGGACTTTCGCGAGAGTTCGATGTATCAAATCATCCTATAGCTTAAAAATATAAAAAAATCATTTCATTAGTTTTTAACCACGTCCATAGGTCTAGTATTATGTTTATTGATGTAGTATGCTTTTACTTCAACGATGCAGTAATTCTGTTCAAGCACAGGTAAGTTTTCCATTTTCGAGTTCTTTTTTATACGGCTTTATAATTTATAGAAAAAACGGCTTTACAGATCTAAAAACACCCTCTAAATATTCTCTCCAATGTTTTTAAGAGACAATTTAAAACGGTCCTTTCTGCCTGTTTTAATCATAATCCAGTAAGAGAAAAGTCCGTTTTCCACCGCCAGAAAGGAATGAACTAAGGATTAATTGCCTGTTCTTCGCAGTACAAGGTCTCCCGCCGTAGATTTACGAACCGATGGCGTAGCTTCTAGACATTCATGAGTGCTTGTAACAGCCTAAACTGAATAAATGATTTTGATAATTAATTATTATTGGATGTCTAGCGGAGCGGTTTTCGTGTACATAAAATAGGCTTTCTTTGAACTAACTAGCTCATTTTTACCTTTCTTGTTCTCTTTGTCATTTTCGCTTGACTCTTTGTTGTTGAGAAAAGATGTATGCATTTTTGTATTACGAGGTAAATGCAGTCATTAATAGACCACTTACATTATAGGCTTATTAAAGCATAGTTTATTATTTAGATTATACGTACAACTGTTGTTTCACCCAAAAGGGGCCCACTACAAAAGCAGAAACCAGAAATAGGTACATAACTATAGTAGGGGAGCCCAAGCGAGGATCGTTGGATTAGCTGGAGCGCGACAGAATAAAAAGAAAAAAAAAGAGGGCACCCACCTTGCACCTTGTGAAGTACTCCCGTTATACCTGAGCGCCATTGCCTGATTTAGAGGTATGACCGCCCTAGGCTAACTATAAACATGAGATTAAATTAATCGTAAACTTAAATTTACACTTAAGTATACATCACATTTTTATGCAGGGGCATATTTTTAGACCTTTCTGAAACTTTTGATACTGTCTCCATCCCAATCTTGATTAATAAGCTTGAGTGCCTTAGAGTTCGGAGAGCCGTACCGTACTTGATTTATTTCGAAGCTATTTAAGTGACCGGTACCAAAGAGTGATGATAAACGGCATTGTGAGTTACGAATTGATGATCTATGGAATCCCACAGGGTAGTGTCCTTGAACCTATCCTTCACGTAGCAATTTTATTTTAACGCATTTATTTTCCCAAACTTACCAAATATTAATATGGAAGTCTTCCTTGGTTCTTGCGCCCTAGGCTCGTTAGCCTTATTAGTAAATCTGGCTCTGCTTGTGTCCTTAGTCCGTAGCTACTATGTGGGCCGGTGCCGGCGAGGATCCGGGCTAATTCCTCGCCATCAGATATGTTGAAGCCCTCAGCATATATACATTATTTGGTAAATTATGTCAAATACGTCTATGTAGGACTGAAAGTCTAGGGGAGCAAAAAAAAAACGGCTATGACTTTGTCGCGTCTAAATTGCCTTGAAGAGGACCTACTAGGGTTCACGTTACATCCCTTCTCAATCTTTGACGCCCTGATTTTTTTCTCTCTATATTTTACCTGTTTATACAGCCACCCCCACTCGACCAGCTCGATGGCGCAAGTGGTTAGTGCGTTCGGCTGCGATCGTTGAATTTAAGCAACTTTCGCAATGGTCGGTCGTTGGATGGGTGACCAAAAATCTTCTATCTCGAGTTCCTCCGTGTCTCGGAAGGCACGTTAAGGCGTTGGTCCCGGCTGCATCTGCAGTCGTTAGCAACCGCCAATCCGCATTGGGTCTGCGTGATGAGTCATGGCCCAATCTCCCTATTCCAATCATAGCGAAGGACCTGTGCCCCAGCAGTGGGGACAATAATAGACTGATGATGATACAGCCACCCCCACACTATGCAATACAGGCAGATCAATATTTTTCCATCCTCGGCACCGTTACGTGAACACTCCAGTAGCTTCTATTCAGAAGACTTGACGATTGGGACACGACCAATAGAAATGGCCGTCTGTTGAAAAAAAAAATTGTTTTCGCTGCCCTTGACGTTTGGCCTTAGAGGGCTCAGGTATACTTCCTTAGATTAAAACAAAAAGGGAAGATACGGTACGCTCATACTAATATCAAATAAAATATGATGCGACTCAACTACATAAGCAACTATCACACACGCACACGTCTGTAAATAACATTCAATCGAGCGAGCGAGACAGAACTGTACGCTTCAACGCAGAGCAAGCAAAACGGCGAATCAGCTTCCGAGTGCGAACGACTGAGTTGTATTGTTTTCCTTTTCTTGGTAACAAAATGGCGATTACGTAAATAACATTCACGACAAACCGTCATTTTTGAGAAAAAATAAATTTCCAGTTTTACAAATGAGAAGTGTTGCCGAGTAACTTGATTTTGTTTGAACTATTTGTGTTCTTTATAAAAGCATCGAAGGCAGTGTTTTATTTATATAACACAGAATATAATGCAATATTGTTATATTGAGTGTACATGCAGCGTGTTTGAATGTCCAATTGTGACTACAGCGAATTGTGATCGTGCACCGCAGTTTAAGCGGATCACTTTTGAGCCGCGAGTGCCGTATCTTCCCTTTTTGTTTTAATCTAAGAGTACTTCACAAGGTGCAAAGTTGTCCCCCTTACGTCATTCTGTCGCGCTCGAGTAAATCCAAAAATTCACGCGTGGGGTGATCCTTCTATGCATATAACTATTATTTTGTTGTAATGGAATAAAATAGCCTTTATTATTATCAACAACTGTTGCTGAAAAACTGAACCAGATTAACCTTACCTATTACATGATATTGGAGATGGGCCGAATATACTATTTGCCGACTAGCCGACTGATCGGCTTTCAAATTGCCGGCACTAGTCGGCAATGGTGTCGATTGTGGCATACTTCCAACGATATTAAATACCCTAGATACACCACGAGCGCTCAAAATGTGTCCCAATCAAGAAGTACGCACTTCTTGGTTCACAGTCACGCGCGGACCGTTACAAAGTCAAGATGCCACAGAGCTCCGCGAAAAAATGCAAAAATAATACTTAGAGTACGAAAAGTGTCGTTTTTTCGACAGGTATCTTGTAAATGTTTGTTAATTTAACGCATTTGAAGCAAATTTTGATTTAATATAAAATATTTGTGATATTCAAATGCATGGTCGGTTATACGTCGCCATATAGCCGTCTCTTTTCCTCGCGGTCCGTGCCTGCTATATTGCTAACAGCGCATTCAGAACTGCGCGTAGAGTCAAAGAACTAAGGTCTATTTTCTTCCGCATATAGCAATAAGTCGTAAAATTTTACGAGCTTGCATTTCGAACTGTCAGAAGTCCTTGACGCATGCGTTTTATTTAAGACCTTATACCGTATGAATTAAAGGTTACTTTCAATATTTAAACAATGCCTTTTATTGATTTTGACTACGCGATCATCTTACGGAGCTCCGTGGATCGTTCAATGTACCTTTTGGACAGGTTTCGGGCACGATTTTGTTCGTGTTGGTGTATCTAGGGTATTTAATATCGTTGCATACTTCTCTAAACTTTAAACTAAATTTAACATCAGTCTCTCCCTTTCATTCTGTATAGACAATTTCAAGGATACAGTGTTGTCAAATTTAAGTTTAGTTCGACACAAATGCCGATTATTTTAATCTAATATAAGGAGGTGTTCGGAATATTTGGTGACTGCTCGACTTGCTCACGCGCGAATCATTGCGCGGCCGCTGAGCATGTGATGTGTATTGTCGACCTAAATCTTCATTTCAACTGTTCGTTTTGTGTTTGCTGTGCCGGTATAATCTAATTGAGATGAAAAAAAAATATTTTTAGACTGTAAGTTTAGATACTTACTCGAGGTACTGTTTAGAAATTAAAAACAAGCATGAATCGGTATGTTTTGTCGAATAGTCGCCGACTAGAAACGATGCCGAATAGTCGTCTTTCCCGACTAGTCTAGTCGGCCTACCTCTATCTCTACTAGATATTTATTGTTAGAAACTAGTACTAATGATGAATACAGAAAATTTTGCAGAACCTTTTACTACAAATCTGTAAGTAATTCTTTAAAATTAAAGTAATGATTTTCAAAATGGACGATCGACAAAATCTCTTTCGTCAAATCAAAAATTTGGGAACCTCTAAATAGAGTGAAAAACTAAGTAACCTGTAAAATTTTATTTTAAGCATTCAACGGCTATATTTGTGAATTTAAAAAAAATGCTATATAGACGCAGTACGAGCAAAAAAATTGCTAGATAGACGCAGTGCGAGCATCTACAGGCCTGGACTACATATATCTTTTTTAATTTTCTTACCATAATCGACTTTGGTATTTCCCTCGATATCAGAATTAAGGTGAGGTTGAGCCCATTATTAAATTGACTATAAATAGTGACTTTAACATTCACATTCTTAAATATTTCAAAATATAACTGATCTCTTAGCCAATTACAATCCTAAACTTTACTTACATGGTATACAGAATATGAAGATTATGGATAGGCAAATAAGAACAAATCTGCTTTGTGGTCGTTCATTAACCACATGATGTATTTTGAAGCCACTTTTACCCACCTCCTTTTATACGCCCCCCCCCCCCCCCGCACCAAACTGGAATGAATTATTTCGCTTTAAAGTCATTTTTCAAATTTCTTGCCTGTTCTTCTCAGATATGACGCGATATCTCATTCTGCCCCGCTCTTGTTGTCCTTTCGAACTTGACGTGATTAATGGACGATTCTTTTATTTATCTCAATAGCCAGTTGTGTGCGTGCCAATAATTACAATTGTAGTAACAGTAATTTAGATGTGGAGGCTGGCTGATAAGTAAGGTTAGAAAAAGAATTAGTACAGGTCGCGGCACGTAACTCTAGCGCTAAACAAAACGCGGAGGGGATAGCCGCTCATGGGTACGACTGGAGAGCCAATCGGCGCAACGCACGCCCAACCCGCGCACCTCGTTTCCCCCTAAGATATCTTAAGAGCCCTTTTATAAAATTGCGCCGGTGCCGTACTGATCGGCGCGTAGGTAGATTTGCACTAGTAACGGGCCCAATTCTGGCGTGATTCTCTAAATTTAAAACTAAATTTAACATCAGTCTCTCCTTTTCATTCTGTATAGAGAATGACAAGGATATCATCATCATCAGCCTATTAATGTCCCCACTGCTGGGGCACAGGCCTTCCCTATGGATGGAATAGGGAGATTGGGCCATGACCCACCACGCGGGCCCAGTGCGGATTGGTGGGTGCTAACGACTGCAAATGCAGCCGGGACCAACAGCTTAACGTGCCATCCGAAGCACGGAGGAGCTCGAGATAGTATAAATTTTTGGTCACCCATCCAATGACCGACCACTGCGAAAGTTGCTTAACTTCAACGATCGCAGCCGAACGCGCTAGCCACCTGCGCCATCGAGCTCCTCATTATACAACAAGGATATACTGCTGTCAAATTTAAGTTTAGGTTTAGAGAATCATGCTAGAATGGACACCAATATTGCATTTTAAGGGTGATGTTTCCAGTCTTTAATAATTATTAATGAACTAATTATAAAAAAATATAAATATTTTAGTAGTTCAATAATGGTAGATTAGTTTTATGAAAGTTTTATTGAATTTATTATTAAAATGCGGGTCAACCTGCATAGTTTTTTGGGCAAACTTACGGAGGTTAGATGTTTTTTTTTTATAATTAATGAGATGGAAAATCAAAATTCTCATACATTATGTTACAACAAAAACATATTTCTGATGTCATAGTAATTAATTCGATCTAATTTATTGAACATTATTTAGAGATTCAGGCGTTTGAAGTTGTGCATATTATTATTTTTTCCGTAAACTAGCTGCGGTAGAACGATCAGTCAAAGAAAGGAAAATAGTATTTGTGTTCAAATATTCTACATTAACTTACAAAAGGATGAATAAATCTACTGTTTACTTCTATTGGAAATAGTCAAAATCTTTTCTTAGGGGTAAACGAGACGCTCAAAAATTGCGATTTTTTTGCAAAAAATGTGAAAGGGCTCTTAATTTTTATTTCTGCGCAATAACGGTCAGCGCTAGAATTTCGTGCCTCGACTTATACAATATAGGTGCAGGCAAACAATTCGTACAATTAAAGACTAATAGAAGGCTGGACTGTCGTTGAACAGCTGTTCCAGAGATGTCTGATGAAGATCCTGAACATTGAACTGTGGCGGCTGTACCTCAACTACGTGAAGGAAACCAAGTGCCTGCTGCCCACATACAAGTACGTATTTGGTACATTGGGCTTGAGTACCCCACGCACGAATGTGACAGCTCCGTAATCTAATCGCTTCGTCGAAGTTTCTTTGAAAACTAAGCAGTGCCCTCTACCGGACGTTGGAACAAAGTGGCTCCTTCCATACAAAATTGACAATAGCGACATAAGGGCTCTTTCAATTTATGCGTTTCTTGACGGCCTGCTTCGGTGCCGAAGCGGTGCGTTTGTCGTACAGCGTACGGACGATCCTTTTTTTTCATACAAAACGCGCGGTGCGGCAATAGTGCGGCGCCGGAACCGCGAACGCTCGACAACAGGGGGCCAATCGCCTAACGGAAATGCTTTGGAAAACGCTAACGCTTACGATGTTATTTTGTTATTTCTAGCCGCCTGAGGTATTCAAATGCCTTGCGCTCTTTCTTTTTCTTTTGCATTGGTAATAACAATATTAAAAAAAATGAGCGTGAGGTATTCGAAAACCTCAGGCGGCTAGAAATAACAATCTTTATATATATAATTCTTCTGTGAGTGTGTATGTCACTGAACTTCTCTTAAACGACTGGACCGATTTTGATGAAATTTTTTGTGTGTGTTCAAGGGGATCTGAGAATGGTTTAAATTCACAAAGACGTGTAGACAGGACAACGTCTGTCGGGTCCGCTAGTAACAATATAAAATCGTAAGCGTTAGCGTTTCCCAAAGCATTTCCGTTAGGCGATTGGCCCCCAGGACTGTTGCCGCACCGCGCGTTTTGCCGCATGCTGTACGACAAACGCACCGCTTTGGCACCGCAGCAGGCCGTCAAAAAACGCATAAATTGAAAGAGCCCTAAAGGTAGCGAAACGATTAAGGATCTGTCAAAGTTGGTGCCTGGGCCGCTGATTCTGGCATTGTTCATTTACCTAAAATTTGACAATATTACGTCCATATTATAGGGGCCATTCATTTATTACGTAAGACTATTTTCGCTAGTTTTTGCAAAGAAAAAATACCGTAGAGAACGTTACGGTGCCATGTATGGGAGCGTATGGTAACGTTTTACGTAATTTTGAACCCCCGTAAACGCATTTTTTGTGCAAATGAGTTGAAAATAAAGATATATTTTTAACTTCGTTCCAACCGAGTGTTCCGCGACACTCACGCAGTTTTTTTTTAATTTAAGTTTTAAAATACTGCTAGATTTTATATCTGGAGTTTTTTTTTATCATCATCGTCACCCTATTAATGTCCCCACTGCTGGGGCCACAGGCCTCAAGGGCGGATCCAGGGGGGGGGGGGGGGTCATGGCCCCCCCCCTGGGCTGGGTACAGATGGACCAAACCCAGGGGGATTTTATTTAAGTACTTTCAATATTTAATATACCACGACTATATGACCCCCCCTGGCGCCAAAGCTGGATCCGCCCTTGACAGGCCTACCCTATGGGTGGAATGAGATTGGCCCATTGGTCCCGTCTGCTGCCTAGTCCGCGTAGAATTTTTTCTAGCAATATTTTCTTTAGAGTTATACTATGATTTGATTATTTTCACAGGGAAAAGATGGCGCAAGCTTACGACTTTGCTTTGGACAAAATCGGTTTAGACATTCACGCGTACCCTATATGGAACGATTACGTCACGTTCCTGAAGGGGGTCGACGCTGTGGGGTCGTATGCCGAAAACCAGAAGATATCCGCTGTTAGAAAGGTGTGATCTTTAAATAATCATCTTGAATTATAGTAATATACATTACTAGCGGCCCGCCCTCGCTTCGCTTCGGTGTACAGTTTTTGTTCTCAGGCTTGTATTATACACAATGACATTCAACTATGATTCTTCTTATACCTGCATGCAGTCTCAGCCCGATCGGTTTAAAATTGACAAAGTTTCATACAAACTTTCATTCCCTATTTTATCCCCTTGGGGGTAGAATTGATCAAAATCCTTTCTCAGCGGATGCCTACGTCATAACATCTACCTGCACGCCAAATTTCAGCCCAATCCGTTCAGTGGTTTGGGCTGTGCGTTGATAGATCACTATGTCAGTCAGTCACCTTTGAGTTTTATATATATGTTACGCTCAAAGATCGAAAACGCTCAGTGAGCGGAAAAATAGCTCACAACGCGTTGTGGTCACGTGGTGCTTACTTCCAGATGATAACATAGATGCGAAGTGTTAATGACGAAGTTGAGGGCACATCACAAAAGTTAATAAAGTTGGTTTCAGAAAGTGTAAACTCATTACGTGCATAAAGTCTATCGAATGTACCGAAGGAAGGTACATTCGATAGACTTGTTGTTCGATTGACATTGTGGGTTATCTACAATGCAAAGAGATGGCGCTGCCTTGCAGCTTAAGAAAGGCTAGTGAAAATTCGACACGGCCAATAGGGCCGTGGTAGCATAATGGTCAGGGCATTCGCCCGGATAGCGAAGGGTGCGGGTTCGAGTCCCGTCTGCTGCCTGGTCCGCGTGAATTTTTCGTAATTATATTTTCTTTAGATTTAAACATCGAACTATTACATCATTAAAAAAATATTATTAATATTATTGTTGTTGCAGGTGTACCAACGAGCAGTTATCACCCCAATAATTGGTATTGAGACGCTATGGAAAGATTACATAGCGTTCGAACAGAGTATCAACACTATTATAGGTAAGTGCGGGTAGTAATATAAATCTAAAAAAAAATTTTCTAGAGAAAAATTATAGATAGATAGATAAAACTTTATTCACACCAACATGCACACATACAAAATTGAAGACAAATTTTACAATTACATAAATCCTTTAAAACATACAACAAATTATATTTATACAACTATATTGATATTTTCGTGTGCAGCAACGATGCGAATGGGCGAAAACTCAGCGTAACATTTACTCCGAGAGTAAATCGCTGATTTACTCTCGGATACAAAATCTATGCGGACCAGGCAGGAGACGGGACTCGAACACGCATCCTCAGCTATTTCTTCTTTCAAATGTTTAATACATATGAAGGTATTCATTTGACATTGTGGGTTACCTACAACGCGAAGAGGTTGCGTTGCAGCCTAAGAAATACTAGGAAGAGTTCGACACTGCCATCAAGGCCGCGGTAGCATAATGGTCAGTGCATTTGCCCGGATAGTGGAGGATGCGGCCTGGTCCGCATGGATTCTTTTCTAGAATAATTTTCTTCACATTTAAACATCTAGCAGTTATTTGCTTAAAACATCAATATTGCTTTTCTTACATTAATAGCTGAAAGAATGGCAATGGAAAGATCACGCGAGTACATGAACGCGCGTCGAGTCGCCAAGGAACTTGAGACCGTGACAAGAGGTCTGAACAGAAACATGCCGGCCACTCCACCTACTGTGGACCGGGAGGAAATGAAGCAGGTATAGTGTTTATTGATTTTATGAACATTTTCAGAGGAGCTCGACGGCGCGCCAGTCCAATTAGTTGATGCTGGTGGAGCCAATGTATTATATTGGAACGAAATAGGCTGGTTGACCCTTTTTGGAAAAAGGTTTTAAATTGTTCATAAATGTTTTATTAGACCGAAAAAAAATGTGTTGTATTTTTTTGAGACCTAAAAAGCTACAAATCTTTAATTTTAAAATAGATTTTTCATGGACATACAAAAACGCTGTCGGTCGGCCATTTTAGTCTATAGATTATCTATGCTATGACGTTAACTGCAGTAAACAAAAACTCGTAAGCACGTAGAAAATAACTTAACTGACTTTATAATAAAAAAAAACATGATTTCTAATAAATACCACGAAATAAAGTAAATATCATTATTGTATTGTACGAGAATATAAAAACACATTCTCGAAGACTCCAGGAAAGTTGTGGATTAAAGTGCCGAAAGAAATTAACCTACGCAACTTTATTACACTTATTCATATATTGTATCAGTTTTATGTTTATTACTACATTGTAATACTAAATACACTGTACTTACATAGATGCCTTGTCGTTTCTCTGCTCCGCATTGCAGAAATCGGGGTTTAGTGCAATTAATTCACCAACCATCAATGCGTCAATTCTTGGCAGATTTGTGCTTTCTGTTTTCACAAAGCCGGCATCCATAATTAGTTTTTTCAAAAAAAAACCTTAAGCGGAAACTTTTCTAAAGTTAAAAGTGTTTTAAGATAAATTTAGTCAGACGAAAGTATCCACCCACAGTAACACGCGAATGACATTTAGTTGTTTACCATAAGAGACGTCACAATCATGGCGGACGTGGCGATGTATGTTTTCGGACCGTGTGCCGCACACAGAAAGAGGTTAGAAGGGTGATCATAGACCGTTTGTACGGGAACCGATGTCGCTGACTCGCCACCACTACACTTCCAGCTAATAGATAATAGCCAATCAAACGACGCGACATCAAACAATCAAACCAATCGGCACTCACATCAGAGAGCGAAGACGCAATCAGAACCAAGTTTTGTTCAAGTTATGAGCATTTGTTCACACGTGGCGCGTCTGCCCCGCCCACAAGGCCCTTCGAGAGGATACTCTTTGTGTTTCTGTGGTGTGGCGGATGGGTTAAGGGGAAAATTTGTCTTTACAACCTAGCGAGGCAGCTGGCGCGTTCGGCTGCGATCGTTGAAGTTAAGCAACTTTCGCAGTGGTCGGTCATTGGACGGGTGACCAAAATTTTTGTATCTCGAGCTTTTCCGTGCTTCGGAAGGCACGTTAAGCCGTTGGTCCCGGCTGCATCTGCGGTCGTTAGTACCCACCAATCCGGCCAGTCTGGTGGGTCACGACCCAATCTCCCTAATAGGAAAGGCCTGTGCCCCAGCAGTGGGGACATTAATAGGCTGATGATGATAATGTATGTTTCATATATTATAATCATACTTAAAGCTCCAGAAGCAGTTTTAAGATTTCCTTCACAAATTATTTTCTTGCAACCTCTTATAATAAATATCATTAGTCTTAATACAAAACAGTTAGACACTGTTTTAATCCTGTTTAGGCAAATTTTGTATGATTTTTTTTCTCAAGCTGATGTCATGTTTTTAATACCAATTAATAAATAAATAAATATTTCCAACACACACACACCAATTAGCCTAGTCCCAAAGTAAGCACTGTAAGGCTTGTGTTATGACATACTAGGGTAACGGATAAAATACATATACTGATACATATCTAATATATAAAATTCTCGTGTCGCGGTGTTTGTGGTTAAACTCCTCCGAAACGGCTCGACCGATTTTCGTTAAATTATATATGCATATTTAGTAGGTCTGAGAATCGGATGTAATCTATTTTTCATCCCCCTAAATGTTAAGGGTAATCCACGCCTTTTATAATACATCATACAAAAATACATACAACCCTAAATTTTCACCCTTCTACCACTAACCCCTATTTTTTTATAGCGGTACGAAGTTCGCTGGGACAGCTAGTATAAGTATATTTATATAGAAATACATATTAAACATCCATGACTGGAGTACAAATGCTCGTATTCATCACACAAACATCTGCCCCCACCGGGATTCGAACCCAAGGCCTCTGGACTCTGCGACACCATGAAACCCGGTGTGCAAACCTCTCGGCCACGGAGGGAGTCAAAATTTGCCAATTGCTACAACAAAATCTCTCTTTTCTCCCTAACAGGTGGAGCTATGGAAGAAATACATATTGTGGGAGCGTAGCAATCCTCTCCGCTCGGAAGACACGGCTTTAGTCGCCCGACGAGTAATGTTCGCCATAGAGCAAGGTTTATTGTGCTTGGCACATCATCCAGACGTATGGCATCAAGCAGCACAATTTCTGGACCATTCGGCGAAGCTATTGCAGGAGAAAGGGGTGAGTGAGAAATAATCTAGAGCTCATCTAATGAGGAGCTCGATGGCGCAAGTGGTTAGCGCGTTCGGCTGCGATCGTTGAAGTTAAGCAACTTTCGCAGTGGTCGGTCATTGGATGGGTGACCAAAAAGATTACTATCTCGAGGGAGAAAGGGGTGAGTGAGAATCTAATAGTAATCTAGAGTATTTAATGAGGAGCTCGATGGCGCAAGTGGTTAGCGCGTTCGGCTGCGATCGTTGAAGTTAAGCAACTTTCGCAGTGGTCGGTCATTGGATGGGTGACCAAAAATTACTATCTCGAGCTCCTCCGTGCTTCGGAAGGCACGTTAAGCCATTGGTCCCGGTTGCATCTGCAGTCGTTAGCCACCAATCCGCAATGGGCCCGCGTGGTGCCCATTGCTTATTGCAAACTTCCCATTCCATCCATAGGGAAGGCCTGTGCCCCAGCAGTGGGGACAATAATAGGCTGATTATTAGAAATAATCTTGGACTTTAGTAAAAATGTGTTCAAATAAATAGTCGATAAATAAGGAATGTTTGAAATAAATGTGTGGTTTAATTCCGTGATTTGTTCATATTGTAAGGTTGAAGTCCCGGTGTGATCGAGAAAAGTCCCGGGGTTTTCTAAAGGTTGTTGTGCAGTCCTAAAAATGGTGTCCCAAGTTTCAACAGTTTTCAGTAGTGTTCAGAAAAAGCGTCTTAAGGGTTTTTAAAAGTGTTGTAGGGTCCTAAAATGGATTACAATAGTTTCTATAAAAGTCTTAAAGTTAATATTTTTGAAGGGGTTTGTAAAAGTGTTGTGTAGATCTAGAATTATTGAAAATAGTTCGCACACCAACTTCGCTATTCTGGCAACATATTTTTGGACTCAGTGACTCCGAAAACATAAAGTTCAGGTAGTCTGGTTTTTCGCGCAGGATATTTTTTTTTGTGGGTCTGTGTAATGGTACACCTTTTATAATATAAATAAAATTAGTTTTAACGGGTTAATGCACGAACTTTATTTATTTATATTTATATTTACAGAAAGGTCTCCCAATTTGGAACCGGTGGTAGTTTACAGTAGTTAGGGTAAAATAAAAATAAAAACTGAAAATTACAAAATAAATTTTTAAATAAAGTACCTTAATAACTAAATTAACTAATAAATTCATACATAGACAATAAAATTTTAAAAATCTTCCAATGAAATATCCGAACGCTCAATAAAAGTCTTTCGAAGGTAGCTCGACAAAGTAAATAAATAAAACAATTTTTCTGACGATGCAGACGAAAAGGCTGCGAAACGTCAATAAATAAATAAAGTTCGTGCATTAACCCGTTAAAACTAGTTTTATTTAATGAGTGATGTGCGTGAAAACCTGAGAAACAAATACCTTTTATAATTATTATTATGCCCTACCTCTCTTGAATTATTTCGTGCCTCTACCAGGACTCGAACGCGGCTCGCTTATTCTCCGACGAAGCTGCCGCGGTCTATGAAAGAGCTACAAGTGGTCCTCTCAAGCATTCCACACTGTTGCACTTCGCTCATGCCGATTATGAGGAGAGCAGACTTCATTATAATAAGGTAATATAGGGTATATTCCGAAATATACATCAGTATACTTTTTATATATACCTTTAAAACCAAGCTGCGAAGCTTTTTATTAGAGCAGGCGTTTCGTTGAGTGGTTTGTCGTCATTATTTTGTATTTATTTTGGAAATATGTATGTATTTGTGTATTTATTTAAATATATTAACTTATGTATGTGTATGTTTATATATTATTATTTATATTTATTATTTTAATAAACTTCTCCGTCAATGTGATTTCCACTTCAGTTGTGCACCCTACCACTAATAATATCCGCAACATCCTATGGTTGACTGGTAGAGAATGCCTACGGCATTAAGTCCGCCATTGTACATTTGTGCATAAAGAATAAATAAATAAATATACTGGTCAGTGGTAATGACGTCACGAATCCGACGCCATATTGTACTGGTATGCTACCATATTTTTACCGGGAAAACGAATATGACGTATGGCGGAGCGTGCGTGAGATGCATTCGAATTTTATTTTTTTTTATTTAAAGAACAATAACGGCATTCGAACATAGAGAATTCGTTTTAATTGATGAGGTAAATAAAAAAATCTTCTTTATTCGCACTATTTGTAATATTTCGTCGATTCATGACGTCATTAGCACTGGCCAGTATACTGGTATATATTACGGAATGCACCCATAGCTTTTAGCTTTTTCATTCATTTCTTGAATCATTCAATTGAAATGTACCCTATTTGTTTCGATATGAATTGAAAAGTCATTTTTTTACTTTAACCAGACTGTAAACACCCAGAAACTGGTCAATATTTGTGTATCTTCGTTATTGAGGAGGTTATTTTTTACAAGTTGTAATTTTAAAATCATTTATTCAGTCGAGGCTGCTGTAAAGTTTCCTATAATAAAATAAAAAAAATGATTTTTTTATTTATTAAATAAATATTGGAAAACAATAGTATTTAGCCACTTCACCAAGAAAGAAGAGATAGAAATAGAAGAGAGAGAGAGAAGATATTGTTATTAGATTGGCGTCAATTATGGAAAGATTCGCTAAACCTAAAATTAAATTTTGAGACTGTGTATCCTTGTCTTCTCTATACAGAATGAAAAGGAGAGACCGATGTTAAATTTAGTTTTAAGTCGAGAGAATCATGTCAGAATCGACACCATTGTCATGTGAACTTACAGATATTCATTATTATAGTTTTACTAAACATATATTATTATTTGTCCCGGGTTCGAACCCCGGTGGGGGCAGATGTTTGTGTGATGAATACGAGCATTTGTACTCCAGTCATGGGTGTTTAATATGTTTTATCTATATTGTTACGTGTCGTGATGGGGTTCGAAATTATATACCAGTCCACGCTTGACAGTACTTTATTCATCACACAATTAACACACAGTGTTAATCAAAATAAACTCACTAAACTCTGTATTTCACTATACAAATCTCTAAACAATCGCAATTGAACACTTTTGTTACACTTTGATCGCCTTTGGATTCGCTCCGAAATCGCTGTTGAAACTCAACTGTCTCTGCGCGGCGCCAATCGCGCTTATATACGCCGATAGACGCATTCTAGAAAGTACCTGTTAAATTGAGAATTAGCTAGCACCCGAGAGTACGTAGTACCTTCTTACACCTACGCAGGTAACGCGCATAACTTGTAAACAAGTGCAGATGTCGTTGCACTTTCTCCCTTACGCTGCACTGCATAAGGCTCATTTTAGAATGAACCGCATTACTCGACCTCTAGCACTTCCGCGGTTCCGTTTCGAGAGCGTTTGTGACAATATAAATATACTATATGTATGTATCAGTGTATGTATTCTATTTGTTACCCTAGCTAGTATCCCATAACACAAGCCTACAGTGCTTACTTTGGGACAAGGCTTATTGGTGTGAGTGTTTAAAATAGTTATTTATTTAATTTCTCTCTCTTAATACAAAACTTTGTCATCAGGTACATCAAGTATACACCCGTTACTTAGATATGGAAGACATAGACCCAACTTTAGCTTACGTGCAATATATGAAATTCGCAAGACGAGCTGAAGGCATTAAATCCGCTAGGACTGTCTTCAAACGAGCGAGGGAAGACCCCAGGTAATTTAACTTAATGTTGCCATCAATTTCACCTTTATATAAAGGTAAAAAAAAATACTTAATGATGACAATAATATCACCTTTATTTTAGGGTAAAATTATACTGATCGGAGGCGACAGATTGCGAAAAAGATAGCCATGATTACGAAATGAAATTTATTTATTCACACAGAATTTTGTAAGGTGATTGCACCGATAACCTACAGAATCTAGCGGTCGACCTTTTTTCAAGCGATGAAAAAACAGACTACGAAAATTATAGAGAAAAATATTTAAGTAAAATAAAAACTTTTTAACAAAAATATTAAATAGCAACAAAGATAAAAATAATACACCTTTTTTATTTTTAGTCAAATTAATATATTTGATAGATCTAGTTCCAATTAACTACTTGGTTTGGCGTGGCACCGTTTCCATATTATATTCATTTGACTTAAGAGCCCTTTCACATTTTTGCAAATAATCGTAATTTTTGAGAAAGATTTTGACTATTTCCAATAGAAGTAACAGTAATTTTATTCTTCCTATTGCAAGTTAATGTAGAATATTTGCAAATACTATCTTCCTTTTTTTGTACTGATCGTTCTACCGCAGCTAGTTACGGAAATAACGATAATATGCACAACTTCAAACGCCTCAATCTCTCAATAATGTTCAATAAATTAGACCAATTTTTTATTTTTTACTTTATTATTTTTTACTTTTTGGCGGTTTAATTTTTTTGAAAATAGTGTTTTTCTGTGATCAATTAACTAACATAGTAGTGGGTGGCCGATCGCTAAATATGATAAAAAATAAGTTTCACTGCAGATGTGTGCACACAATTTCTTTTTAAAAGTACGGAAAACCAATTCCCCAGCAGTGGGGACATTAATCGGCTGATGATGATGCAATATAAATTTCCATAATTTGTTACTAGATCCCGCTACCACGTATTCGTAGCGGCCGCCCTTATGGAATACTATTGTTCCAAAGACAAGAATATAGCGTTCCGAATCTTCGAGCTGGGATTGAAGAAGTTCTCACACATACCGGAGTATGTGCTGTGCTACATCGACTATCTGTCGCATCTTAATGGTGAGTCTCTTTGTAATGCCTAAAAAATCGGACGATTTTGTGGCCAAGTGGTATGTACGGGTGTCAAGGTCCCGGGTTCGAATCCCATTGAAAATCGTTCAAATTTTAAATATATAAAAAATCTAGTAAAAGTACCTTAAAATTTGATTACAAGGAATCACAAAACGCCGGTAGATGTCATAAGTTTTTGAGTATAAATTTTCACATAAACACTCATTTTATAGTGTCTATATTTATCACAAGTGACCCGCCCTCGCTTCGCTTCGGTGTAGAGCTGAAGTGTAGACTACAGTTTTTGTTCTCAGGCTTGTATTATACACAATGACATTCATCTATGGTTCTTCTTATACCTGCATGCAAAGTCTCAGTCCGATCGGTTTAAAATTGACAAAGTTTCATACAAACTTTCATTCCCTATTTTATCCCCTTGGGGGTAGAATTGATCAAAATCCTTTCTTAGCGGATGCCCACGTCATAACATCTACCTGCATGCCAAATTTCAGCCCGATCCGTCCAGTGGTTTGGGCTGTGCGTTGATAGATCACTATGTCAGTCAGTCAGTCAGTCACCTTTGAGTTTTCTATATATAGATTTACTTAGTGATTAACTTGTGAATGACCTTTATTTAACAACGATTAGTAATAATAAATTAAAATTTTAATGGGACAATTCAAAATTAGCTGTTTACAACAGTGTTGCCAGAGGCCGTTCTAAACTACTTCGTCTATACTGTCAGCAAGTAGCGTAAACAATATATCTTATTAAGGTAACGCCATCTGTTGATACTTTTATTAATTACGACCTAAGAAAAATCTATTGAATTAACAAACAGTACCCCTAGCACGAACCAATATCGAATTCCTATCGTTTGCGAGTCAAAAATGTCATTGTCAAATGTGTACTGATTTTAAGTTCTCATTACGTACTTTGTGCCGCTGTTCAAGTTTCCATTCAAAATTTGACATTGACATTTCGGTTTGCAAACTATTTGAATTCGATAATGCTTCGTGCTAGGGGTAGAGTGTTGTAGTCTGTAGTTTTCGGAATCGCATTATCATTATAGTAATAAAAATTTTGCTAATGCAGGAGTGTGGTGTCCTGAATGATAAAAGTTTATACCGAGAAGGAATTACTCTTCATGCTGTCAAATTGCCTATTTCTCATAGAAGGTTTTAATGTTTGACAGGAAGTCTTACAGAGCTTACCTTGGAGCTAGGCTAATTGGTGTGAATTTTAAAAATATGCGGGTGCTAACGACTGCAGATGCAGTCGGGACCAACGGCTTAACGTGCCTTCCGAAGCACGGAGGAGCTCGAGATAGTAAATTTTTTGGTCACCCATCCAATGACCGACCACTGCGAAAGTTGCTTAACTTCAACGATCACAGCCGAACGCGCTAACCCCTTGCGCCATCGAACTCCTCACACCACTCATAAAATAAAACCAAATTCAACGGTACGGATGCACTGATTTATTTATTTATTGACAGATCTTTAATAGACAACGCATCCTGTGAAGGATGCGAAACGTCAATAAATAAATAAACCAGTACCCCTAGCACGAACCAATATCGAATTCGTATCGTTTGCGAGTCAAAAATGTCATTGTCAAATGTGTACTGATTTTTAGTTCTCGTTACGTACTTTGTGCCGCTGCTGTTCAAGTTTCCATACAAAATTTGACATTGACATTTCGGTTTGCAAACTATTTGAATTCGATAATGCTTCGTGCTAGGGGTAGAGTGTTGTAGTCTGTAGTTTTCGGAATCGCATTATCATTATAGTAATAAAAATTTTGCTAATGCAGGTGTGTGGTGTCCTGAATGATAAAAGTTTATACCGAGAAGGAATTACTCTTCACACTGTCAAATTGCCTATTTCTCATAGAAGGTTTTAATGTTTGACAGGAAGTCTTACAGAGCTTACCTTGGAGCTATGCTTATAGGGTATTTGACAAGTTTTAGAAAACGATCTCACGTTATTGACTAATGTTTATGGAGTCCGTAAAAAGAGGATATTAATCATTCTGTTGGGTACTTCAGTAAAAATAACCAAATCAAAAACTCCATTTTCAAGTTGCCGCGAAAACGTTTCTTTGGACAATATGGCGTCTTACTAGTGTGTGACGTCACGACTGTTGTTAAAACGTCAAACGATACAATGTAATATCACTTTAACCGGAAGTTTACTTGCGTGTGACGTCATTTTAGGCTCCGCCAATCGCAAGCGTTTTGGGTCACGTGGCAATAGATAAGAAAACTATTATCTTTTTCGTGAGTTCCTAGTAAAATTAGGAATATTTTTTTTTGTAAAAACAGTAAAAACCCCTGCCAATATTCATTCTAAACACAGATGCTACCCAATTGGCACTTTTATTTTTAATACTGTCAAATACCCTATTGGTGTGAATTTTAAAAATATTTGTTATATTTGTTTCTTAGGTTTTCACGCACACCACTCATAAAACAACAACAACAACAACAACGCATCCTGTAAAAGATGTGAAACGTCAATAAATAAATAAATCAGCATCTATATACCGTTGAAACTTGATTTATTTATTATTTGTTATGTATAATTTCTCTCTCTCTCTTTTAGAGGATAACAACACTCGCGTACTATTCGAACGCGTCCTATCCTCTGGCAGTCTGAAACCGGAAAGCTCAGTGGATATATGGAATAGGTTTCTGGAGTTCGAGTCCAATATCGGAGATCTAGTCTCCATCGTGAAGGTCGAGAAGAGGAGACAAGCAGTTCTTGAGAAGGTAAAATAAGTCCATTTTTACGTGAATTTTTACTTACTTACTCGACTAGCTGACTTTGTATGATTGATTTTGTATGGAGGTCAAGTTTCATACAATTTTTATGTATTCCACAATGTCATTGTTTTTTTTAGCTAAGTACAATTTTTCCCATTGTTTATTTAATTATTTATCTTTTTTTATTCTTAGGTACCGCATTTAATAAAATAGGTACTTATTTGTTTTTTAAATATAATATCTTTCCTGTACAGCTAAAACCTAGTAATTAAAATATAGGGATCATTCTTCCTTGGACATTTTTTGTAGTCGGCTTCTTGAATTTCGGAAAGAAATCCAACGATTAATACTGCGTTAAAGAAAAATCGGTTAATTTTTACTTTTATTTTATTTAAGTGACTTTTTTTGTTTGATAATTGTTGAAATTCAATTTATATATTTTTCTTTCTTTAGTGTAAACTTCAGCCCATAAAAATTTAATCATGTTATGCCCACATTTTTAGAGTTACAGTTTGGTTTTCTATAATTGTAATTGCTTTGGTTTTTTTTATAATTGTAACTTGTTTTGTGAGCTAATAAATAAATAAAAAAAAATGAGTTGATAATACAAATGGACTCAGTTTCTCGTCTACGAAAATCCGTGGATGTTTTTCAATTAATCCATTAATGTGTCACATAATTTCTACACATTATTCATTAAGAGCCATTTTACAAAATTGCGCCGCTGCCGTACTGATCGGCGCGTAGGTAGATTTGCAATAGTATATATTGCATTTTACGGGTGATGTTTCGAGTCTTATAAAATAATTATTAATGAACTAATTATAAAAATATATACATATTTCAGTAGTTCAATGATGGTAGATTAGTTTTATGAAAGTTTTTTATAGTAATTCTACTTAATTCAATATCAAAATACGAGGTAAACCGGCATTTTTTTATTTTTTGTTATTCCGGAAAACTCACGGAGGTTAGATGTTTTTTTTTGATTATTAATGAAATGGAAAATCAAAGTTCTAATACATTATGTTACAACAAAAACATATTTCTGATGTCGTAGTAATTAATTTGATCTAATTTATTCAACGTTATTGAGAGATTGAGGCGTTTGAAGTTGTGCATATTATCGTTTTTTCCGTAAACTAGCTGCGGTAGAACGATCAGTACAAATAAAGGAAAATAGTATTTGCAAATATTCTTCATTAACTTACAATAGGAAGAATTAATCTACTGTTTACATCTATTGGAAATAGTCAAAATCTTTTCTAAGGGGGTAAACCAAGCGCTCAAAAATTACTATTTTTTGAAAAAAATGTGAAAGGGCTCTTAATGGAAACAAATCAATTTGTATTGTTATATCAACAAATTTCGATTAACTAGCCTTTCGCTATACAACGACGATATATCAAATTCTATTAAATTCTATGACAAGAGATAGAATAAAGTTAATTTCTTTATTTTATTCTTCATGTACATACTGTACAATGGCGGACTTAATGCCGTAGGTATTCTTTACCAGTCAACCATAGGTTGTTGTAGAGATTTGAGTGGTAGGGTGCACAGCTGAGATCACATTCAAAGAAATATGAATAATTGTAAGAATAAATATATTTATATAACTGACGACCTCCGTGGCCGAGTGGTTTGTACGCTGGGTTTCATGGTGTCGCCGACGCGAGAGGTCCCGGGTTCGAATCCCGGTGGGGGCAGCGGTTTGTGTGATGAATACGAGCATTTGTACTCCGGTCATGGATGTTTAATATGCATTTATATATAAATATACTTATATATGTCCAGTGTATGTATTATATCCGTTACCCTAGTATCCCATAACACAAGCCTTTTAGTGCTTACTTTGGGGGCTAGGCTAATTGGTGTGTGGTAAAAAACAAAAAATATTTATATATATGTCGGAGAGCGGCTATTCACTTTGTCATTAGCGTTCACCGGCTTAGTGGGCGTCATTGGGGCTTGATACAGGCACAAAACCAAACAATCACTCAATCACTGTTCGTATAGTTTTAATTACGTTCTTTTAACAAAAACAAAACAAAAATGTTTCACACACACTTTACTTTACACTAAGGACACTTAAATAACGTAACAACCGAGCAGTGGGTTCAAGGTACCAATCTGACTTCACTGAACTACCGTATCACCATTCTAGTAATGAACCGCTACGATCAGTTCCTCGCCTTTAAATACGCTCAAAAACTACCTCCCACTTGTGAAAATCAATATGGCGCCTCGACCCCACTCGAGGCACGTGCTCTGCTCTGATTGGACGCGACATAAAATGATTTATTAGCGACTTTTATTCAATTGCTAAGTTACTGAACAATACAAAAATTGTAATTAATTGAAATCAAATGAAATTAAGATTTTATAAAATTATTTAAAGTGTAAGCAATAGCCTTTTCACGCTTGGCATTCAACAATCAACCCTATTCATCACATCCTCCGACATATATATTCGTAAATATACACAAATGATATTACTAAACAAATATATAATTTAATAGTTTTATTAAATTATTGTTGCAAGTGGCTCTTCAAATGGTATTATTAATTCTGTTTTTGTATTCTTGTCACCAGATCAAAGAGTTTGAAGGCAAGGAGACGGCTCAACTCGTGGACAGATATAAGTTCTTGGATTTGTATCCGTGCAGTATCGCAGAACTCAAATCTATAGGGTATACTGAGGTATGTCATCATCATCATCATTAGACTATTAATGTCCCCACTGCTGGGGCACAGGCCTTTCCTATGGATGGAATAGGGAGATTGGGCCATAATGGGTGCTAACGACTGCAGATGCAGCCGGGACCAACGGCTTAACGTGCCTTCCGAAGCACGGAGGAACTCGAGATAGAAAATTTTTGGTCACCCATCCAATGACCGACCACTGCGAAAGTTGCTTAACTTCAACGATCGCAGCCGAACGTGCTAATCACCCGCGCCATCGAGCTCCTCAAGGTTGTTGGAGTTGTGAGGTATGTATAAAAAAAGAATTTATTACCCTTAAATAACATAATAATGAAGTTAGAAATGACATAAACAAGACAACTAGGTCCCGGTCCATGAGACGTATAAAACGCAATATTATAAGTACTTGTTCAATTTATTTTTATATAGTGACTTCATCCGGTTAACTTTAGTTCTGAGAGAATCTCTAAGGAACCTAACTTTTTTTCGGGATAAAAAGTATCCTACGTCCCAATCCAGGTCATAATCTATATGCGCACCAAATTTCATCCGAATCCGTTCAGTGGTTTTTGCGAGATTGATTAACAAACATACAAGCGAAGTAGGATTAATTTTTCGTTTGTCCCAAGGTGGCATCAATGTCGAACAAATCGTGGGCTTTGGGTGGGCCACTGGCGGGGGTGTCCCCAGAATTGGCTGCATTTATACTGGGCCACAAGTGAGTACAAAACCTACTTTAATTATTTCTAGTTTATAATACGATTTAACAAGAATAAAGAATAGCAATTATAGTTATAGTTTTTTATTTTTTAAAGCATGTAACTGCTTGATGTTTAAATCTACAGAAAATATAACTAGAAAAAATTCCACGCGGACCAGTCATTATAGGTAACCCACAATGTCAATGCGAAGAGATGGCGCTGCCTTGCAGCTTAAGAATGGCTAGAAGAATTTCGACGCGGTCCGTGAGGGCTGTGGTAGCATAATTGGTCAGTGCATTCGCCCGGATTGCGAAGGGTGCGGGTTCGAGTCCCGTCTGCTGCCTGGTCTGCGAGGAATTTTTTCTAGTTATATTTTCTTAAGAATAAAGAAGAATAAAAAAACGAGTTTGCTTATGACCACATGACTGAAGTGAAACTTCTTTAGCTCCATCTGTATGTATATATTTATATATACAGGGTGTTTATTTAATGATGTCAAGCCGGTGCGAGCTGATAGCAGAGTACCATACCTATCAATTTAAACCCATGTATGTTCTACGATTTTTCGTAGTTTTCAAGTTAGAATTTTTTTCGTCATTTTTTACGATTCAATGATGAGATAACTTGGATAAAGTATAACTTTGTTTTGGGTCGACTTTTCTTCGATATTTCTTTTTTAACAGAATGCCTATTGTTAGTAGTTTTATAAGTAAAATAATCTTCTTCCTTACTTTAACCTAAGATATAAAAATTTTGATCGATACTAAATAAAAATGGATTAAGTAAAACAGAATGGTTTTTCAATTAAAATAAAAATAGATGTTCCATAACATCTGACTAATTTTAAAAACTGCCCGACTTCATAAGCTTTCATAAAATGATCTGGATAAATCTCGGGCTGTCGTCCTCCTCTGCGTTGTAAACATTCGTGAAACATCCTTGCGGTAAGTGAAGCTTATACGCGCGTTCCCGTAGAAATAATGCATTTGCGGCATAGTCTTGCGATGAAAATTCGTAATCTCGAGGCATTATATCACTCACAAACAACCTTAATATGAAGCTCAATCGAGAGTCTTCGACATACGAGTAGATACTTCCTTATTTCATTTTTCAGATATTCCATAGAAGGATATTTAGATGACAGAAATTTAAATCTAATATGAAAAATCTTTGACATGTTTAAATTATAATCGATTTATTTCAAATTGTATGCTGACATTTTAATAATATTTAATTTTATTAATATTGCATGAAGTAGTAATTTAATTATAAATTGTTTGATTGACTTTGAAATGTTATTATATAAGAATTTTTGTAATTTTATGCTAATCATATTTAAATGGATTGTAATTTTAATTTTATCTAATAATTTTATTGTAAATTGTTTGTGATTTCCAATACGATGAAAATTGTTTAAGGAATAAATGCCAATGACTATGACTATTTAAGCGTAAAATAAAAATACCCGAGGAGGAGGATAACAGGAGTTTTGAGTGGTTAGTTGTCGTAAAATGATTGTTTTTGTTTTCTAATGAGCTCCAACTTAAGATTGACAAAATATGCAAAGATACTACGAATTTATAAAATAGTAAAATTACAAGATTTCCGATACAACACTTTCAACGACAGATTTCAGCAAATAATGCCCAATTTAGTATATTTCCTTTTGTATTTTTGTGAAAGCTTATGAAGTCAGTTTTTAAAATTAGTCAGAAGTTATGGAACATCTTTTTTTACTTTTTTTTTATTTTAATTGAAAATCCGTTCTGTTTCACTTAATCCATTTTTATTTAGTATCGATCAAAAGGTTTATATCTTAGATTAAAGTAAGGAAGGAGATTCGGGGGCGTCCATAAATTACGTGAGGTGTTTTTTTTTAATTTTCTATCCCTCCCTCCCTCCCCCCTGGTGAGATGTCGTGAGATTTTATTCAACCCCTCACCCAAACCCCAATCTCCCGTGAGATTTTTCAATATGTGGGTTTCTTACGTAAACGTTGGCTTGTTATTGTAAAAAGAAAAGGAAAATTTGCTTCGTGCTTTTCTTTACGACTAGTTAAGACTAGTAATCAATATTGCTGACAGTTATAAGTGTAATAAAAATGTAACAATAGAATACTTAAATCGTAACTACTGTGATTAAGAAAAGAATATCTACTCTAATTGACGACCTCCGTGGTCGAGTGGTTTGTACGCCGGGTTTCATGGTGTCGCCGACTCGAGAGGTCCCGGGTTCGAATCCCGGTGGGGGCAGATGTTTGTGTGATGAATACGAACATTTGTACTCCAGTCATGGATGTTTAATATGTATTTCTATATAAATATACTTATATATGTACTGTATATGTATTCTATCCGTTACCGTAGCATCCCATAACACAAGCTTTACAGTACTTACTTTGGGGCTAGGCTAATTGGTGTGAGTGTCGGAAATATTTATTTATTTAATTCAGTCCATGGAGAATCATGCGCGGTCTCAAGAGAGACTATTGGAACCAACATGCCTATATGATTTTCAGTAAAATCATCTGCTTCTTCAACTTCGTTCTGATCAAATTCAAATTCTTTATTTGCCATTAAATAGGGTGAGTACATTGAAATGTTCATGTTAACAGAGATATAAAGGTAGCTTTAAGTCTATTTAGCCATATGATTATAGCATGCAAAAGGAATATTTCCATTTATATTTCTAAGAAAACAAAAACAAAATAAAAATACAATTTCATTAATAAATCCGTAATAAGATAGAAAAAAAAATTGTATACATTATATTCAATAGGATAATAATCAAAACTAATCAATTCATTTAATAAGAATAATATCATGTATGTCATTTATAATTTAAATATTCGTCAATTGAATAGAAAACTTTTTCCAGTAGCCATTTTCGTAATGATTTGAGAAACATGTCAAATGGGAGTTTTTTTATGTCATGTGGTATTTTATTGTATACTAGCTGACCCGGCGAACTTCGTACCGCCTTAGCGTAGCTTTGATGCACTACTTTGACATTGACATTCGTTACGTTATATTTTTCAATCTTTCTGAGAGATTTTCTTTATATTTTTTTCCGTAAGAACAGAGTATTAGAAAACTACAAAAAAAAAACTGCCAAATCGGTCAAGCCGTTTTCATGTTATGTCGTGACAACGGAAAACGGGTTTCATTTTTATATATATAGATTACATTACACATTGCGTAACTATTTAGCCATTTGCGCACAAAGGACGGGCTACACTGTACCGTAAATTCAGATTAAATTGAGCTATTTGGTATAAAAGAAATATTTTGGTTTTGACAGTCAGTAGATGTATAACGTCGAAGTATGAATAAAATTATTTTCCTTTGAACGAATTAGTGACTGTTCTTAATCGTATTACGATTAAATCTTAAGGATGTACAATCTGGATTAAATGGACCAAAATAGTATTTTTTTGTTTCAATCAGAAAAAAAACTGCATGATATTTGCTGAGACCCCCCCCCCTCTCTCCAACGTAAGATTAGATGAGATTTGAATCGACCCTCTTTAAACATCACACGTAATTTATGGACGCCCCCTTATTTTACTTATGAAACTACAAAAATTAGGCATTCTGTTAAAAAAAAAAGAATCAAATTCGACCCAAAACAAACTTATACTTTATCCAAGTTGTCTCATCGTTGAATCGTTAAAAATGACGAAAAAAAATCTATCTCTCAAACTACAAAAAGTCGTAAACATATGTACATGGGTTTAAATTGATAGGTATGGTACTCTGCTATCAGCTCGCACTGGCTTGACACCCTTAAAAAAACACACTGTATATATGTGTGTATACACTATATACATGTATGTACATATACATATTTCATTTACTAGCTATAAGGCTTAGCACGCACTACGATTAAACGCCCGCGTTTAACCGCAGGTCTGAAATCGCAAAAAAATGTAACACGTAGCTTTCTATACAAGCGCACGCATTAGTGACTTTTTTCAGTGACTGATTTTAAAAACGCAACTTGTTACGTTTTAACCGCGGTTCGAAAACGCGCGGTTTTTTTGTGTCCCATAAGAACAGTATTGTGGCGCACGCACGGCGGTTAATCGCATTCGGTTTTTATTCAGTCTCGACTGTGCGAGTGCGGAGGATAGACGTTTTTACAGAGGTTAAGTCATGTCGTCCGACTCAGAAACATCGAATGTAGACTACGACAATTTATCAAAAATCATTATTATTGAAGTGGAAAAAAGGCCGGCATTATATGACAAATCGTTAAATCAATACAGAGACAGAAATATTAAAGCCCGGCTTTGGCAGGAGGTGTATCAAAATGTGTGCAGAAATTGGACTAGCTTGTCGGAGGCAGAAAAGAAAAACAAAGGTATGTGTTGTGCTTAATTTTATTATAAAAAGTTAGTTAATAGCATCGTACTGCCAATTTAAGGCACCAGATTGAGATGTAAAGTAGTCGGCAAATAAATTTCGAGTTTGCATGACGTCACTACTAGGACGAAGTCGAGTTGGGTGCAAGCTTCTTTGTTCCGATTGGTCACATCGGCCCAAATTTTCTGGTAACTCTTTGCCATCGTATTTTCGTACGAAGTTGTGCAATATGCAGAACGCTTTGACTATGTAATCGCAAAGTTCAAGTTTTGTATCTAAGGGCCTGTGAAAAATTCGCCATTTATTGGCCATAATGCCAAATGTACATTCAACTGTTTTTCTGGCACACGAAAGTCGGTAGTTATAAATCTTTTCTTTAATAGATATGTTTCTGCTTGGGTATGGTCTCATCAAATGTTTTAAAAGTGGAAAAGCTTCATTCCCGACAAATACAAATGGCATTTCAGATCCTTCATTATCATTTGGTAGTACTGAGCATGGTGGTAAATCCAATTAGTTTGTTAAAAGTCTTTTACCAAAATTTGAATTTCGGAATACGCTGGCGTCACTATTGGATCCGTAGGCACCCACGTCAATAGCTACGAAGCTATAGTTAGCATCGGCAACAGCAAGCAGAATAATTGAATAAAACTTCTTGTAATTAAATGACTCTGAGCCGGTATAATCAGGTCTTTCGATTCTTATGTGCTTGCCGTCAATCGCGCCAACACAATTTGGAAAGTGTGTTTGTATGAAAAACTCTCGTGCTATGTTTAACCAGTCTTCTTTTGTCATTTCTTTCAAATAAGTAGGCTGCAAATATAACCACAACTGCTTGCACGTATGATGGATAATTTCACTGATAGTCGTAGCGCCAATCAGGTATTCAAAATACAACGACTTTATGCTATTTCCCGTAGCAAGGTATATGTGAACAAGATTTTCATTTTGTTTATTTGGTTTCAGAGAACTCCATACAAAAAAAATGGAAAAACATGAAAGATTGTTTCGCTAAAGAATTGACAGCACAACAAGGCAAATCTGGACAAGCTGCCCCTTCAAAGAAAAAGAAATATATTCATTTCGATTCAATGCTTTTTCTAATTCCTTCCATGCAGAAACGAGAAACGAGCGGTAATCTATCGTCGCCTAATTCTACTCAGGATGCAAATACGTCATCGGATTTTTCTACTCAGGATATAACATTGTCTACTACAGCTCAGAATTCACAACTAACTAATAACAATAGAACACCACTGTGAAAGAAGAATTGTTCTCGAGACAACAACAATTCAACAGAAATAGACAAACAATTACTTGATATATTAAAAGACAAACAAGCACAGGAAGAAGAGGACGAAGAAAAAAACTTCGCGCTTATGTTAGTTCCCATGTTACGTAGATTAAATGAAGACCAAAAACATTATGCGAAGATTGAAATCCTTAATGTCTTAAAAAAAGCACGAACTCATCCATCTCCGCAACCACTAGGACAACACGTTATCAACCAACCAGCTCAATTTCGAGGACCAAAAATAACTAGTTCACCATTGTATCATCAAACATATACCCAGCCACAAAACCCCTATCACTATCAGTATTCTCCACAATCCTCATCGATGGATACAATATATTCCATTCAATCACCATCACCAACAATGCCTCCACCAAGCCCATCTCCACAGTTATCAACTACAATTCAGCAAGCACCGGCTATACATCCAACGATGCCGCAATATCAGATACAAATTATCGACCAACAAATTTTGAAACCAGCCAATGAGACTGCCGATTATTTGACAAAATTTGTGAACCAGTTAGAAGACCAAGACTATGCCTAAGAGTAACTAGAAAAATTGGTTACATAATTATATTTTAATTTACTTGTTGCGAAATAAAACTTTAAAAAAATTAAAATTGTTTTCTTACCTTAACGTAACTGAAAGTCGCTCTTCAGGTGATATTGCATTACGAAATGAAGTGTCTTCAAATTTTAGATACTGGCCCACGCCATGTAATAATTTATCAAAAGTGCCAATCGACATTCTGTAGTAATTAAAAAACTTATCGGGATGTTGACGCACGTTGTTGTACATTTTGCAAAAGTATCCTTTCAAATGTCTTTGATCAGTTAGTGGATGTACCCAGTACCTATGGCGGCGGCGTTGTTTATGCTTTCTATTTTTTTATTTCAACATCAAAGCTACAACACATGCTGCTCGCCAGAAATCCATGGTGAAATGAAATAAATTTAAGTAAAAAGCTAGCCGCAGTGCGTGTTGATGCCCGTTTTTGCGTTTTCAGCTTTTCCTAAACCGCGCGCGTTTAATCGCAGTGCGTGCTAAGCCTAAGAGAAAAAGTTTAAAATGATTAAATAAATAATAAAGATTATTAAAAAAATATGGTTGTTTCACGTTACGCGGTTTCTAGGCAGAACTGAAAACCAGTGCCTTGCTCTCAGAGCAATGGCATCGCTGAGTTTTTGCCTTTTTCTGTCGTTGCGACACACAGTTACATATTTATTAATTAATTCTTCTATTTGTTTACTTGAATTTGTATGATGTACTGATGGGAATAAATTATTTATCTATGTATCTAGATTGGTCGAGTTATTTATCTATATATAATTTCCCAGGGACAACGACCCCAACAAAGACATAGCTCGACCGGACCCCAATCAAATGATCCCGTACAAGCCCAAGATAAACCCTTTGCCTGGCGAACATCCTATATCAGGTTAGTATGTAGTTCATACGAGGATACACCATGCAATCCCAACGTATTGTTACGTGTGGGGATGGGGTTCGAATTTATATGCCAGTTCACGCTTGACAGTAATTTATTCACCACACAATTAATACACAATGTTAATCACAGAACACTCACTAAACACTGTATTTCACTATACAAGTCTCTAAACAATCTCACTTGAACACTTTTGTTGCACTTTGATCGCCTTTGGATTCGCTCCGAAATCGCTGTTGAAACTCAACTGTCTCTGCGCAGCGCCAATCGCGCTTATATACGCCGATCGACGCATTCTAGAAAGTACCTGTTAAATTGAGAATTACCTAGCACCCGCGAGTACGAAATACCTACCTATACCTACACAGGTAACGCGCATAACTTGTAAATAAGTGCAGATGTCGTTGCACTTTCACCCTTACGCCGCCCTGCATAACGCTCCTTTTAGAATGCCGCCTTACTCAACCTTTATCGCGACCCGCGGTGATCTGGCAAATTCGATCTCTGGCACATTCGCGGTTACGTTTCGAGAGCGTTTGTGACAGTATGGAAGCCTACATCGCGCAAGAGAAATTCGGAGGCTAACACTCCATATATACAATGCCTGACCAACATCAGTCGGGCCGCTGCCCCCGAGCTACCATCATCCAGCTCGGAGGAAGATCTTCCACTTTTGGCCTTCCTACATGTTTGAGCACTAGGGTTCAATTTCCTAAGTCGGAAGGCGGCGGAATAAAAAACGTACGAGCGGTGGCATCGGTGGTTTATTGCAAACTAAAAAACGTGACAAGCAAAGTGGACAAAGTACCCTTAGCACGAATCAATATCGAATTCGTATCGTTTGCAAGTCCGAAATGTCATTGTCAAATGTGTACTGATTTTTAGTTCTCGTTGCGTACTTTGTGCCGCTGCTGTTCAAGTTTCCATACAAAATTTGACATTGACATTTCGGTTTGCAAACCATTCGAATTCGATATTGGTTCGTGCTAGGGGTACTGTACCAAGAAATTTAATCACGTGGAGGGTAAACAATAGGCATGTCGATATATATACGTAACAATTAATTAAGTATTATTTATAGTATCAAATTTAGATATTCTTACATATAAAATGTTCCTAGAATACTAAACACTACAAACGTTTGGTCTGCGATCGCGCAAGTTAAGAAACTTTTCCAATGGCCGGTCAACGGATGGGTGACCGAATATTTACTAATTCTCCGTTCTGTGACTGTGATTAACTAACTATAAAGTCTACTACCCGCACTCCGAAACTAATAAAATCTGTAAATATTTTTTAATTTGAAAATCCCAAAAATGCAGGTATAATGCGATTCAACTAAGAATAGGACCGACTGGGTGCTATATTGTGATGTCGTAGCTGTCAAGTCAAACCAAATAGGTAGAGTGAGCAAAAAAGTTTGTAGGTATTTAATAAAACTTATTTACTAAGGCTAAGTGAGAAAAAGCATCAGATATTTTTAATAAAATTTATTTACTAAGATTGAGAAAAAAATTATTAAGACTGTGTGAAAAAAAAAATCAGAATCTAGCTTTTCAATTCCGCTCATCTCTGCATTACCGCCGGAGTAGTTATGAATAATTATGCACTAGTACTAGGTCACATACAAATATGCATCCTTTATGTAAACGAAAGTTTTAAATCGAGTTTATGAACGCAACTTAAAGTGACATTTGGTTGACGATTTAGATTATCAACCAGTCATAGCCAAAGCTCAATAAATGAAAAAAAAAATATCAAACAATATTAATTATCAATATTTGTTATTGTTTGTTTTCAAATGTTTGGTTTTTATTCTAGAATTAGCGGAGTGCTAAAAAAGGGTTGCAAGATTTTTTTGCAAACCATACGTTTCAAGCGAATTTTGACAGATGGAGGTAATTGGCTTTCCTATTCTTATTTGAATCGGACTATACCCTATACATTACAAACCCAATCATCAAAGAAAGTTTGTCAAAAAAGCATAAATTCCACTATAAATATTTTATATAGTAGTTTTAAAATAAAAAGTTCAAACCAGTTTAAGAGTCAACTCTTTGAATATTGCTTGGATTTTTTTTCTCAACACGAACATAAAGAGTCCAATAGACGTTAATTAACTTTTGAGTTTAATTTAAGTCTTCGCTGTCTCTTGTTATTGCTGTAACGAATGAGGGCCTATCGCGTATGAATCCGCCGCTAGAGGCGCTAGTGTAGCGTGAGGTCTCCGAAATGTCAAATGTTATTGCTTGTTGGTTGACTACGCGGGTTTATTTCTTATTAAAATAATGTTGTGAATAATTGGTAACAATTCGGCTTAATTATGGCAAATATGGGTTATGTGGCAATGAATGTCAGTTATTAAAAATTTGAGCTTAAAAAAATGATTATGTTCCCATTTTTTCCGAATAAAACGGAACTGGGCGTCACTGTGGCATGGCCTATTAAGTTTAGGATATGGTTCTTTTGTGTTAAAATACGATCTAAATGTAACCTTTGATTTCATGTGCGTATTAATAAACTTTAAAAGTTACAATTTAGGACCTCACTCAACAGTGGCGCCATCTGGTGAGACAGAAAACGGTAGCCCTCATTGCTTCAAGACAGCATGTGACTCTAAAATGGCATTACATTTATATATGTGTCGTTTGAGAGGATTGAGGAGTTCGATGGCGCAAGTAGTTCAGCTGCGATCGTTGAACTTAAGCAACTTTCGCAGTGGTCGGTCATTGGATGGGTGACCAACAATTACTATCTCGAGCTCCTCCGTGCTTCGGAAGGCACGTTAAGCCGTTGGTCCCGGCTGCATCTGCAGTCGTTAGCACCCACCAATCCGCACTGGGCCCGCGTGGTGGTTCATGGCCCAATCTCCCTATTCCATCCACCGGGAAGGCCTGTGCCCCAGCAGTGGGGACATTAATAGTCTGATGATGATGATGATTTGTCGTTTATGTTTATTCACAGCGAATGGATGGTTTTTTACGAATGTATGTCGGTACAAATGGCCCTTGCAGCCATCCATGCGTCTTTGCGAATTGTTTAAATTCATACAGAGATAAAATTATTGTTGATCACAGAAAATTTTACTAAAACGTATTTCAGTTGTTCAGATCAGTACCCCTAGCACGAACCATTATCGAATTCGAATAGTTTGCGAGTGCGAAATGTCTATGTCAAATTTTGTATGGAAACTTGAACAGCAGCGCCACAAAGTACATAACAAGAAGTAATAATCAGTACACATTTAACAATGACATTTCGGACTCGCAAACGTTACGAATTCGATATTGGTTTTCTTTTTTTATTTATTTATTTATGGACCATCAACACAGCTATATTAATACAAACAAACTTACACATATGCTTACGTATTAGGATATAATATAACTGTACTTAAAGATGGCCTCATCATGCGCTAAACAGTAAACAGTTTTTCTTTTTACATATTCTACATACGGAATTTACTACACAACACAAATATTTGCCCAATCACAGAACAATCACGACAGTCTATCATGCTCTATAATTATTTAAAAGGGGAGAACACTGCCTAATATGGTCGTAAGTTCAGAGAACCCCTTACGTACCAGACCCATTATTGGCAAACTAATTTTATTAACAATAATATTAAACAGTTAAGTATCTACTTTCCCAGTATTCTAAATATTTTATTTTTTAAAGTTGGTATTTTATCATGAAAAATGGTTCGTGATTAGGGAACTGTACCCTTAGCACGACCCTATTAAAACACCAAAAAAAGTGACGGCTGTAACTTTTGTAAGGCTGCCTGGCTCTATATAGGATTTTGTTTCCGTTTCTCTCAGGCGGCAGTTTCCCCCTGCCGCCGGCGGCAGCTCACCTGTGCACTCTGATGCCGCCACCGTCCTCCTGCCGCGGCCCCTTCGTCCACGTCGACAAACTCATGCATCTGTTCAACAGGATCTCGCTGCCGGATAAACGTGAGTTCTTTGTAATAATCATTTAATAATAATATAAGATATATTTTGTTTCTTATCTTTTCAGGCTCACAAATCATATAATAAAAGAGCAAAACCGGGGACGGACAGACAGACGGACATGGCGAAACTATAAGGGTTTCTAATACTGTTTTTCATTTGCCATCGATGCCGGCTTCGGATGCGATTTATCTGATATCGATATCTAACAAACGCCCATCTCTAGTGGGCATCTCTAATATTAATCGGCTGAGGATGATTATGGAGCTCGTGCGGCTGCGATCGTTAAAGTTAAGCAACTTTCGCAGTGGTCGGTCATTGGATGGGTGACCAAAAATCTTCTATCTCGAGTTCCTCCGTGCTACGAAAGGCACGTTAAGCCGTTGGTCCCGGTTGCATCTGCAGTCGTTAGCACCCGCCAATCCGCACTGGGCCCGCGTGGTGGGTCATGGCCCAATCGCCCTATTCCATCCATAGGGAAGGCCTGATGATGATGATGAATACTAATCACACTAATATTTAAAAGGCGGAAGTTTGTGAGTGTGTATGTTTGTTACTTCTTCACGTCTAAACGGCTGGAGCGATTTTAATAAAATCTGGTATGGAATTAGCTGACAGCCTGGATTAACACAAAGGCTACGTTTTACTGCGGAAAAATATCCATAATAAATCGCGAGGCACAGCTCGTAAAATATAATTAAAATGGCTTGTACAACAGCGCCGGCACCCACTCAAGAGAACGGCTGCGATACCAAGTTGTTCGACCTGGCCAGGTCTGTGCATTGGATCGTGGACGACGATGGCATTACTACGGTAGCTAACAAGGTGAGCGATATATCTAAGGAAAAAAAAATGTGTGTGTCAGCTCCGACGCACGACTGGAGTTTACTCCTTAAGTTCGATAGTCTAACCGGACGCAAAAAGAGTTTATTTAACTTAAAAAAGATTGATACTGTATGAAAGGGTAAATTAACAAATTAATGAAAATAATATACACCTTTATATATATAATTCTTCTGTGAGTGTGTATGTCACTGAACTTCTCTTAAACGACTGGACCGATTTTGATGAAATTTTTTGTGTGTGTTCAAGGGGATCTGAGAATGGTTTAGATTCACAATTTTGTCCGCTGGACAACCCCTATTTTTTTAGGGCGGTACGAAGTTCGCTGGGTCAGCTAGTATATAAATATAATATATTTATTCATTTCATATACATTTATTATAACTAATCGACGAAATATTTTACATTAAACTTTTTACAATAGTCAATTTCAGATGTGCATAAATATAACATTAGGAATGTTGATAAATTATGTAATTATTATTATTAGACTATTATATTTTTTTTTAATATTAATTAAATCAACATTGTCTGCATTATTAATTACAGTGACAAGTGGTTTGGTAACTAAAATAAGACACATGGACGTTCGTAGATACGTGATTCACGAATCTTGAAAACACCGCATCACTGGTTGTGCTCTATCAGAAACAATATCTAAATTCAGTTCAGATTTAAAAAAAATATTAATGTCAATCCGTCATCTTTGTTTGTCAAAGTTGCGCGACATAGGATGCGCACCAAAAACGTAACGTGGTCATTCATAGATAGATTTTACTCCTCACATTTTTCTCATACCGGGCCCCTTTATATGCAAATCGATTCTTAAGGAGTAAACTCCAAAAATAAAATGTGAGAATGTGGAGGATGTGCAACACATTTTAATGGAATGCGTCCAAAATGAAGCGGAAAAGAGACATGCATTCTCCATCCTTAAAATAAAACATTTATTAAATATACTATTATCTAATACTAGCTTAAAATATATATATACTATAACAATTAACCTAAAACTAAAAACATTAAAAAATAAAATATAATAACTAAAATACATTATTAAAAGGAGTCCCTTTAGGCAAGGTTCCGAAGATACTGGCAGCGTTCCCCCTTTGGATAGCTAGACTTATTCTTTGTCCGAGGTAGCTGCCAGCTCTTCGGTCTCCTGTGATGTCGACTAATCTTTTTGCTATTTCTTTAAAAAGCCTTATAGCGCTAGGACCCCACGGACCAAGGGTCTCAACACCGAATGGGACAAAATCATATTCGGAAAAATTAATAGGTTTGAAACTGGCATATTGCAGAGCATCCTAGCCAACCACCTATCGGAGGAAGCTGTGTGCTTTGCAATATGGCAGCAAAAATTTTATGTAATAGTTAAGTAATTAAATAATTTTAAGAAAATTGTATGGTCAGGTTACGATAAGGCTGGTATGGACATTTTGGTCCATAAGTCTCAAAAACAAAAAAAAAACTAAGGGAAAAAACCGGCCAAGTGCGATTCGGACCCGCGCACCGACGATTCCGTACGAATTTTCATAAATATTTTTGAAGTTATACTTCTTTAGGCGCGTTATGAAAAAATGATGAGAGTGAAATTTTAAGATGCGCGCGCATCACTGTAACACAAAATTTTAACAGCATGAAGTTGGTCACTTTAGCGACCAACTTCATGCGTTACTTTTGTGTTTACCGCACATTAAGAAAATCTACCATCAAAATAGAAATAGAATCTCTATTTAGTGGGTGCTAACGACTGCATTGTGAAGGCCTATCAAAAGTATTTATTAATCTGGAACAACGGAACCAAAGCGCGATTCAGGAGACTACAGCGCCATCTCTTGACCATTGGTGTAGTAGAACCAAAAACCACATCTTTATTTTTTGTAATAAAGTAACAGTTATAGGTATTCATATTTATAATATTTATCCACATGTTTCTAGTTTGTATATTCGGAATACGTGCTTGAGTTTCATACAAGTGCAAATCACATATGTTCTAATAAATTATATTCAGTAGCGATTTTAATTGAATATTTTGATTATTTATTTATTTTTTCAAATTAAAACTGAACTTTATTGACTGTGTCTATTCTGTGTGTATTCTGGAAAAGTCCAGACTTTTTATTAATTTATTGTAATTAATTATTTGCATGCAATTAAAAACTAATTTTAAACGATGCCAAAGAAGGATAACTTCTCACGCGCCTACATAAGTACACGCACCCATTTTTTTTTATTATATGATGTAACAAAAAATTTACGGTTTTCGCAATTTTTCCTTTATCTGTACTATAAGACGTTAATTCGTACCAAATTTCAAGATTCTAAATTCACGGGAAGTACCCTGTAGGTTTTGATTCCCGTGCGAGTTTGCAGAAATTTGCGGCAAAAACGGCTGTATCTTTTGATTGCTTTGGCTTAGAAGTTTGATTTTTTCACAGCTCCAAGGGACAGTAGACTTGGAGTATTAGATATGAATTTCAGTTTGATACCTCCACGCGTTCCTGAGAAAAACGGTCTTGACAAACGGACGGACGGGCAACAAAGTGATCCTAAAAGGGTTCCGTTTTTTTTCCTTTTGAGGTACGGAACCCTAAAAGTATATATTTATTTACGGGATAGAACACAGCTCAAATTTGAGGAGCTCGATAGCTCAAGTGGTTAGCGCTTTCGACTGCGATCTTTGGAGTTAAGCAACTTTCGCAGTGGTCGGTCATTGGATGGGTGACCAAAAAAATTTACTATCTCTCATTCCTCCGTGCTTCGGAAGGGTACGTTAAGCCGTTGGTCCCGGCTGCATCTGCAGTCGTTAGCACCCACCAATCCGCACTGGGCCCGCGTGGTAGGTCATAGCCCAATCTCCCTTTTCCATCTTCATTCTTTCCATACATATATAGATGGAGCTAAAGCAGTTTCAATTCAGTCGTGTGGTCATAAGCACACTCGTTTTTTTTTTAATATTTTGATTGTCACACTAATATTATAAAGGCTTAAGTTTGTGTGTGTGTATGTTTATTACTTCTTTGCGTCTAAACGGCTGGAGTGATTTTAATAAAATTTAGTATGGAGTTCGCCGACACCCTACCTACTACAAAGGTTACGTTATACTGCGGGAAATTTTCTCTAATAAACCGCGTGTAACACCGCGGCGCACAGCTAGTGTGTAATAAATAATAGAGAAAATACGTTAGCTATTATCCCTATTAATATAAATATTTGACGACCTCCGTGGCCGAGTGGTTTGTACGCCGGGTTTCATGGTGTCGCCAACTCGAGAGGTCCCGGTGGGGGCAGATGTTTGTGTGATGAATACGTGCATTTCTACTCCAGTCATGGATGTTCAATATGTATTTCTATATAAATATTCTTATATATGTACAGTATATGTATTCTATCAGTTACCCTAGTATCCCATAACACAAGCCTTAAAGTGCTTACTTTGGAGCTAGGCTAATTGGTGTGTAACACACACCTGGAAATATTTATTTTGCTAATCTTCCATAAACTCTTGGCTTCATTGGTTATAATTGTTTCAGTCACGCCGTAGGAAAGCTGGCGAAGACTCTGACGATGACGACTTAGGAATGGCTCCACCCGTCAACGATATTTACAGGCAGCGGCAGCAGAAGAGAGTCAAGTAGAGGGAGACAGAGCTATACGGGGGGAAAGAGACGGAGCATAAATGTGACACGGCGATAACGTTATTAAAAACTTTTTGATGTTTTATAATCAGATAATGGACTGAACGACGCGACGCTTGGATGGAATGAGGGTGTTTCGAAAATTTACGTCGCCATCGGCGCCACTGTGTCGTGAGGTGGTTTGTATGAAGTTTTTGGCGCGAATTATCGGAAAGAGCGTTTAAATTGATCCGTAGACTATGCATAGAGGTATAAGAATAGAGTAGGGGAGATAAAGACTCTACTACAAGTCGAAGTGTCCCTCTAATAGAAAGAGAAAGAAGATGAGAGACCGCTAGCTTTCTCTCTCTGATCGCGCATGCGCATTGGCAACCGTAAGCATCTTACTATTTCGATGTGATGCCATAGGATGCCATGCGTCACAAAAGAGAGAGATAGCTAGCGGTCTCTCATCTTCTTTCTCTTTCTACTAGACGGACACTTTTAGAGCCGCCTTTTCCCTTTTTTCTTATACCTCTATGGGCTAGGCCCCCCCCTGGGCTGGGTCCATCTGTACCCACTTCACATTCTGTACTTTACAATCTGTACCCATTGTGACTTGACCACGACTATATGACCCCCCCCTCCCTGGCGCCAAAGCTGGAGCCGCCGTTTTCTCCTAGCATAATGACATAATACTACTGTACCCTTAGCACCATGGAGATTAAAGCATTAGCCCGCCTGCCCCTGAAAATTTGTAGAATTTATAGTTTATTTTTCAGCCACCAGCCGCGCTGCCGTCGGTAAGTAGTATCTGTGAAGTTAGCTGTTTATGAGCACAAGTAGATGAAGTTAGTTGAATATTGTACAATTTTTCTTCGCGGCATTGGTCATTTCAAATTAGCGCACAACAGCCCGCTTTTATTGAGACAACTTCGGGAACGCAGCGCCTCACTTATTTTGTCCATATTTCTGGGACACTATTTTCTACAGCGTTCTCCTTCTCTCTAACCTCCATGCTTAGCAGAAACCAATATCGAATTCGAATAATTTGTGAGTAAAGAATGTCATTGTCAAATTTTGTATGAAAACTTGAACAGCGCCAGCCAACAGACATAACTAGAACTATAAATATCAGTACACAGACTCGCAAACTATTCAAATTCGATAATGATTCGTGCTAAGGGTACTGAAATCATTCTGCCGCTTTTTGCGGGGGGGGGGGGGGGGATATTGCACACAAATGCAGTCCAACATGCTTTCGCAAAAAATAAATTGTAATTACGACACTCACACATAAAAAATGACGGCGCTAAATCCGGCATAGATGAAACTTCGAATCGATTGTTTTGTCAAACAAGTCCGATGACTGAATTTCAACAAAATAATAAAAATTATGTGTTTAAAAGTGGTTAGAGTAGGAAGAGAATGGGCGTGGCGAAAAACGGAACTAACATTAAGATTTTTATTTGGCAATCAAACCCAGCAATCTGTAAAACGTCAAAGTTTTGTATTGATACGGATTTGTTTGTTGTTGTGATTTCTTGCGGTTTTTTGTATTTAATCGTGCCTAAAAGGGGTAAAACCTTACAAATACGGTAGGAAAGCACTAGAGCGCCCTCCAATCTAAATCCCATTATCTTTCCGCACAAACTCTAAATAGAAATAATACGTCAATCATTTTAATTATATATGTGAAAAACACCATCCTTATGTAAGTTTAATCTTCCAGATATGTTTTACAGCAAATTACATGACATTTTGGCACTTCTGATTTTCTGACATTCACTCGCGCGACTTGACTCATTCTAGTGAAATATCCGAGCGCAACTTAGTTTTTTTGAAGCTGGCCCAACAGGGGGGAAATAAATAAATAAATCGACAGTGCAGTGGAATAGTGTGAATGTCGACTTTCTTCCTGGTTGCTCTAAGCATTGATATAATACCAATACTTATACGAAATATTAACCGCACGGTTGCTTTGTCTCCCTCAAATTATCTACCAGTTTACTTCACATCATAGAACGGTCAGTCCATTCTCTATATGTACCTATGTTAATAAATTAAAGGACATTGGGCAAAAATGTATGGACGCTGCACCCACGTCCGCCACGGCTTAAACTACATTTGTTTGAATTAATTTAGTTAGTTCGACACTACATAGGGGGCTCAGGTATTATGGGAGTACTTCACAAGGTTCAAGGGTTTGACAAAACCGATAATTGTGTTCCAATGTCCAAAGCGTGTTAGATAAAATAGGCTTGTTGAAAATATATCGATGTATCGATATATCGATATTTTAGGTTCGATATATCGATATTTTTTGCCGATATATTTTGATTCGATATATCGATACATCGATACAAAATAACCAATATCGAAATTCGTATCAAAAACGATATTTTTTAATTATTAGCGGCATATCACGATCTAACTAAATTCGTATCTGGAAAAATCGTAACTGGATCTCAGATTAATGATATTCAACATATCTATGATCTGTGCTGTATTTAGTATTGTCTATTATTTGTAAATCTGTTTCGCTGGTGAATCGGTTGTGCTGATTTCCATTATATTCTGTGGAAGTTTGTGACTGTCTAGTCTTGTTTACGAAAGATGGCACCTGAGAAGCCCTGCAATCATTTTCATCATTCGAAAATAGGGTCTATTTTTAGGGAGTTAATTTTCGTTCCATTATTATTCCGCGTGTCATATTTCCTGAGATACTGTACTGTCATGTAGTGTAGCGGCAATTTGGTACTTTGATAATTCTTACTTTAATTAGAATTTGTATTGAACTCTTATTACTGTGCTAGGGTGACCTAAATATATTTTTTGGGAAAATTGGTCCTATATATCGATATATCGATGTTTTTTTCGCGATATATCGAAGCCGATATTGATATTTTTTAAAATATCGATGTATCTATATTTTTTTCAACTTTCGACATACCTAAGATAAAAATCAATCAAGTGACAGGGAGCGCACAATCACAACGAAGTAAGACGAGTCAACTATTTGCAACTGTAAGTCCTTCAACCCCCGTAAACCGTTTTGAGGTGCCTCAGTAATTGCAAGCGCAGGATGGATCGGCAGGCTTTGTCGTATATCTGGTTGTTTAATACGATATGGCATATTATTATGGTTACTAATAATATAAAATGAATTTATTTAGCTACTTAAATATGCCCATGTGTCATATCTTTTGACTCCCAGGATATTTTTTTACGGTATCATAATAAAAAAGGCTAGTTTTTCATAGATCTATCGATTCATACTAATAACATTGTTGGCGGAGCTGGGTGTGTTTGCCCATTGTCCTTTAAATACAGAATGGTGACAATTCTGGCATGATTCTCTAAACCTAAACTTGAATTTGACAACAGTGTATCCTTGTCATTCTCTATACAGAATGAAAAGGACAGACTGATGTTAAATTTAGGTTTAAGTTTAGAGAACTCTTGCCAGAATCGACATCATTATTAGCGATTTCTGTTTAAAGAAAAGGAAGATAAGAAATGCACCAATTTGGCTAGAGCGGGAGAGAGGTTATAAAGTTTGCGATTGTTTGAGATATATTATTTCAGCTTTTAACGGCCGCCCGTACTGAGAAGTGTTTACCAAATTTCAATGCTCCATTAAAGAACGTGTAGGCTTATTCTATTGTTATCGCAAAAAAATACTGGTATATTTTTTTAAAGTTTTGACGTTTCATATTGATTAACGGCCAGTTTCTATAATCAAAGTCCAATAAAATGAAATATGTTGCTATTTTTTCATTATTAAGGCCTGGTGTCTTGTAGAACAGGTTTATCTTATTGCAAGCACCAGTCTTCACATTAAGTAACTTAATATTGTAATTAAGCACATCATTGTAAATGAGTTTGTTTTTATACTTATGCGAAGACATAAATAAAGAATTTATTACCCTTACCTTTTACTGGGGAGTGATTATTGAAACCGGCTGTTAGGGAATAAATTCAATTTTCGACCTTATGGCATATCGTTGTAAGCGAATAACTTTGAATAATCTATATATATAAAAATGAAACCCGTTTTCCGTTGTCACGACATAACATGAAAACGGCTTGACCGATTTGGCTGTTTTTTTTTGTAGTTTTCTAATACTCTGTACAAGGTTCTTACGGTAAAAAATATAAAGAAAATCCCAAGGGGATAAAATAAGGAATGAAAGTTTGTATGAAACTTTATCAATATTAAACCGATCGGGCTGAGACTTTGCATGCAGGTATAAGAAGAATCATAGATGATTGTCATTGTGTATAATACAAGCCTGAGAACAAAAACTGTAGTCTACACTTCAGCTCTACACCGAAGCGAAGCGAGGGCGGGCCGCTAGTGTTTTATATAATTGTTCAATTTGTTCCTACATATAGGGAGGTGCCACAAAATTGACTTACGCGCGGCGTAAAAGAGTTTTATCTCCAATTTTGTTTACCTATTAAAAATGATATTGTAAATTGTCAGTCTCTATCGTGTTACGTAAAAAATGAAAATTAGAAAGAAAAATTTACTAGAAAAATTCCACGCGGACAGGCAGCAGGCGGGACTCAAACCCTTCGCTATCCGGGAGAATACACTGACCATTATGCTAACGCGGCCCTGACGGCCGTAACGATTTTTCTCTAGCGTTTGTTAAGCTGCAAGGCAGCGCCATCTCTTCGCATTGTAGGTAACCCACAATGTCAAATGAAAGGGATAGCGAAGGGTACGGGTTCGAGTCCCGTCTGCTGGTCCGCGTGGAATTTTTTCTAGTAAAATTTTCTTTAGATTTAAACATCTAGCAGTTAACATGCTTAAAAATAACAGATATAACTATGAAAATGATTTAAAAAATAACGTTCGTGAGATTGCGACAATTATGTCTTGAGGATTTATTTGGCAATGTATGCGTGGGCCACGCATACATTGCCTCAATAAATTATGGAGTTTATAATTACATTAAAATTGAAAATTAATTGAAGAAATTTGTAAGTTTTTAAGTCCATTGTGCTGTTTGTGTCTGTATTATAAGAATAAGACTACGAAATGAACTGTGTTAAATAAATATAAGTTTAAAAGAACCCTGCAGTGTTTTATTTATTATTTATCTTTCCAACAATCTCAATAAATTTTGTCTCTGCACGTTCTTTCCGGTTGACTGGTAGAGAATGCCATGCTGGAATTAAGTCCGCCTATGCAATGTAAAGGCATTAAAGATTAAATAAATAAATAAAAGTTAGCAATGTGAGCCTTATCTTCTAAATAAATATAAAAGAAGGAACTGAGTCACATTCAACTTTCAGCCCAAACCGCTAAGTCTAGACTAGAGGCTCCAAATTTGGCACATAGGTTCCTTAATGGGTCCTCTATCCTGGTCCCTAAGTGTGCATTAAGAAAGGATTTTTCAAAATTCAGCCCCGAAGGGTTTAAAATAGAGGATGACAGTTTATAAAAAATCTTATATATTAAGCCTTAAAAACTACACTCAAAAATTTGATGATGCTTCATAATAAAACAAGATATTGTTTTAAACTTTCATGGTCACGAACATTAAAGCTATTAACGGGATTGTTACCATGTACCTTGTTTTTTATGAGTCTCCGATATTTCGGCACTGTTGCAAGCGCCATGATCACGGAGTAACTGAAGTAAGTGCGGGTAGATGTTATTGGCAGACATATCGATCTACCCTCTGACGTCGTCTTTTACTGCGCTCGATACCCTTAGGGTGAAGCCAAACGAGCGTAATTTTGTGAGTCGCTTATTTTCGGTCACTTATTTTACGTTCCACTGAATTACTGTTGAGCTGCCATACGAACGTAATTTATTCAGTTACTATTGAGCGTTAGTACGGGGTGTACGTGTCGTCGAGTGCAATGGATCCATTAAAAATATTGTGTATTTACGAAGCATATTCAGAAGTTGAGGCCAGAAAAAGAAACTGGGTAAACCCACTGAATAGTCAGAGGCTGATATGTGGACAGTAGTATATGAACGTTTATATGCAAATCCAGATACGTTTGAAAAGTACTATCATATGCCATTACGTGTTTTTCAAGAATTATTACACCACGCAACTTATAACAAACTGTTGCTTCCCCACTCCCCTTCCTTGCCCTACCCTCACCCCGACCGAAATTCGGACGAGCTTATGCGCATTGAGTCGGCAGACAACTCATTTTGCGTTGTCGTGTGGCATCAACTGCCTTTTTGTATGAAACGAATGCAGCAGAATTTCTGCGACCGAAATTCTGCGACTCACCACTCACAAAATTACGCTCGTTTGGCCTCACCCTTAGACTCAGGAGACTCATAAAAAACAAGGTACATGGTAACAATCCCGTTAATAGCTATAATAAAACAAGAATTCATAATTTTCAAATAATTTAATTGATTTTATTATATTTTCATCGCTTCAAATAGAACATTTGGGTCGTACGTACGTATAGAATGTTGCGGGTAATAGCGTAAAAATACACATTAAAAATCAACAATGTCTATATGAAAACTATATCAAAAGAAATATATTACAGAGAATGTACATTAGCTAAGTGTTCCTTAAATTTAATAGATAGACTTATGCGTCTTAAATCTCATGACGTACACAGGGTGTTGCAAAAATGTATTTTAATATCATTTTACTCTTAAACGTAATGCAAATTGCATTTTTTTTGTTTATTATATTTAGATAGTTGTAGATGGGTCCGAAAAATTACTCCAAAAACAACGCATAATTAAAAATTGTAGCCAGACAGATTGGCGCCGTAACGCGTTACGTAACGAAGCGGATAACCCTCCCATAAGAAGTTTTAAAAGAACGTAATACAAATCGTATAAGTAGAAATAGTATATCATAATTTATTTTAGATATTTCCACGTACACTAATATTTTTTTTATTATCGATTTCCAGAGTAATGTCTTTGCTTATAGCAAATTATGATCGAATTCCGAAGTTTACCATATTATTTCAATAAGTATGTATGTTTTGACATCATAGGACATTATTTAATTTGTCCACACAGTCTTAGTTGTTACATATAATATGTTACACATAACCAGTGACCATTTTGGTTCAGAACAGTATTAGATGACAGTACACTGTTAAGAGGAGCTCGATGGCGCAAGTGGTTAGCGCGTTCGGCTGCGACCGTTGAAGTTAAGCAACTTTTGCAGTGGTCGGTCTTTGGATGGGTGACCAAAAATTTACTATCTCGAGCTCCTCCCAGCTGCATCTGCAGTCGTTAGCACCCACCAATCCGCACTGGGCCCGCGCGGTGGGTCATGGCCCAATCTCCCTATTCCATCCATAGGGAAGGCCTGTGCCCCAGCAGTGGGGACATTAATAGGCTGATGATGATGATGCCACTGTTCCCGTTCCAGCTCCGTTTTTAATAATTTTACTAGAAATTAATAAAGTTGGTATACTATTTGATTGAGGAGTATTACGAATTTTTACATAACTTTTGACACTGTAAACTATTTCTCACTTAATTTCAAGATTCTATCAAAAAAGCTACCAGCTTACACCTTGTTAACTTTCAAAACGATATGTCATGAGATCTCAGCCGCACACTACACCCGTCCCGCTCGCACTATCGGTCGATTTCACCGAAAACTACGTCCAAAGTGCCTATTATCGCCACGATGTCAGCCAACATTGAATTCTTGCCGATTTTCTCTAGGGCTGCTAGATGAGCGAATCCGGGAGCTTTTATCTTGCATCTGTAATATAAAAAAAATATTAATTACTTTTTTAAAGATTATATCGAAGATTTTTTTTTTCTAAATGGCTTCGCACGGCTTGTGCATTTAGCCAATGTCAAGTGTTAAATGTAGGTATACAAATACTATAGCACTCGTGGTCAAAGTAATAAGTCAAGTCAAAGTAAATGGCAGTCAAGTCAATCCCCCTTTCCCCATGTTTCAGTAAAAGTGTGGGGATTTACTGGAACCTCCCCGTGGACTTCTTGAAGGAACGTCGAAAGACACTTTCCGCTATTTTGTTTCACTTGCCGACACTTGTGCATGTTCCCGAACACTTAGTGGTTAATAATCCACCATTATTAGACACTAACATCCACCACAACACAATTTTTAACAAGAAAAACAAAACTGTTAAAGTGACGCTTCCCGATCCCGCCAAAAAGTCCATATCGAAAATTTGTTAGCAATAAATAACTTTCTTGACATTTACTTCATTTGAAATTTGTGTTTTTTATTTATATTTGAAACTTCTTTTTAAGTCATTTACATGATCGCTTAAGTACTTAAAGTGAAACTTTAAAGTTTCACTTTAAGTTAATATCACTTTCACTTGTATATATCGTAAATACATTTACTGGTTAAGTCGAATCAATAAAATGTAGTTATATTTTTTATTTTTTAAGCATTTAACTGCTAGATGTTTAAATCTAAGGAAAATTTTACTAGAAAATTCCACGCAGACCAGGCAGCGGACGGGACTTGAAAATGATTCTAGTAAAAATTTCTTTAAATATGAAATGAAATGAAAGTTTATTTGCATGAAACATAGTTTGTTATAGCTGGTAAATAATATAAAAAGTTCCATATGTTTCGCCCCTTCAAAGAGCATACAAAATACTAATAAATTATCTAAAAATTCAAATTTATCTAATTTAATATAATACAAACATATAGCAGTTAAATGCTTAAAAAATATAACTATTATTGCAATTTCTTCTTCCAAATGTATTAATTTGACATTGTAAGTTACCTACAATGCGAAGAGGTGCATTTCAGCCTAAGAAAGACTAGAGAAAATTTGACACGACCTTTAGGCCCGCGGTAGCATAATGTTCAGTGCATTCGCTCGGATAGCGAAGGGTGCGGGTTCGAGTCCCGTCTGCTGCCTGATCCGCATGGATTTTTTTCTAGTAAAATTTTCTTTAGATCTAAACAATAAAATGTAGTTAGAAAATTCTAATTTTATATTAAATTTGACTGGAATCGAACTCGATTCCTTCATTATGAACTGACTGATAATAATAATAAAATTAAGTTAAATAATAATGCGGTCTCTTTTGATAACTGTTTAGCTCGATTTTTTTTTTATAAAATTTTATAGCAGCCCAGACTGAATAAACGATTTTAAATTACAACTTACAAAAAAATAACCTTCTCATTCTATAATGAGGAAAATACACAAAAACAAATATTGACCAGTTTCTGGGTGTTAATAGTCTTTTAAAAGTAAAGGTTAGAAAGTTTGCCTCCTGAATAATTAAGAGTAAAAATAATTGTCTACAATCTCTGTGTTTCTGGTCTGTTAAAATTAAGAAAATACGCCTCTATCAAAACGAAGGAAAGTAAAAATTTAAATAAAACTAGTTTTTACGGGTTAATGCACGAAACTTTATTTATTTATTGACGTTTCGCAGCCTTTTCAGGTCTGCATCGTCAGAATAAATTTATTATTAGACGATGCAGACCTGAAAATGCTGCGAAACGTCAATAAATAAATAAAGTTTCGTGCATTAACCCGTAAAAACTAGTTTTATTTAATGAGTGATGTGCGTGAAAACCTAAGAAACAAATAAGTTAAAATTTGTCTGTGTGGGTGTTAATGGTACCTGTAAGGTTTGGAGCCTCCATCGGACACGAGGTAGACCCCGAACTCCCCTTTGGGCGCTTCGATGGCAGTGTAAGTGGAGCCCGGGGGCACTTGGTAACCTTGAGTGAATAATTTGAAGTGATGGATCAGGGCTTCCATGGATGTCTGTATGGAAAACGTATTAAAAATTAATAATAATAATATTATTCTTTATTGACATACATACACCTCACAGGATATACCAGACATTAAACATGACAGTGAAAATGTACATAACTGGTGGGCCGCCCTCGCTTCGCTTCGGTGTAGAGCTGAAGTGTAGACTACAGTTTTTGTTCTCGGGCTTGTTTTATACACAATGACATTCATCTATGATTCTTCTTATACCTAGATACAAAGTCTCATCCCGGTCGGATCGGTTTAAAATTGACAAACCTTCATTCCCTATTTTATCCCCTTGGGGGTAGAATTGTTCAAAATCCTTTCTTAGCGGATGCCTACGTCATAACATCTGCCTGCATGCCAAATTTCAGCCCGATCCGTCCAGTGGTTTAGGCTGTGCGTTGATAGATCACTATGTCAGTCAGTCAGTCATCTTTGAGTTTTATTTATATATATAGATAGATAGGCGGCTTTCATCAATCATCATCATCAACAGCCTATCTTAGTCCACTGCTGGACATAGGTCTCTTCAAATGCACACCACATAGATCGATGCGCCTTATTCCTTCTCAATCTCTTCCAGGCAACGCATGGCAGTGAAATAAATAAATAAATAAGAAGACCAAGAACAGGTATGGTAAAATAAATAATCTATACTTATAATAAATCTGTAGAGAGGTCAATTCTGTACATGAAATATATTTTCAAAATAACTATCAGGGGGTGATTAGTGATCGATACTGATGCCAAAAATGCTATCAGTTGTATTTTGTCTGTCTGTGTGTATGTTCCTTATAGAAACAAAAACTACTCGACGGATTTTAACGAAACTTGGTAAAATTATTCTTCATACTCCTGGGCAGGTTATAGTATACTTTTCATCACGCTACAATCAAAAGGAGCAGAGTAGTGAAGGGAAATGTTGGGAAAACGGGAGAAGTTACTCCATTTTTTCAGCTTCCGTCGCGTGTGCAGCCTTAATGGTTAAAGTTACATAGAAATTATGTATAACGGAAATATTCTACATAAAATTGTCTAAAAAATATCCCGCAGCATATGTCTATCTTTTATGGTTGACTCACAATAACACGTGTAACTCCTGATAGCTTAGCAGTAAAGCTCTAAACCGAAGCGAAGCGAGGGCGGGCCACTAGTGAATAATAAATACAATAGATATATCCAAAGAGAGAGACAATTAATTAAATTACAAACATGCATAATAATGCAGTGGTTCCTAAAATGGATTCCGTGGAACCCAAGGGTTCTGTAAACCTCATCTTGGGGTTCCGTTCTCCAATTTTATTTTTTTTGGAATAAATTATACTTACATTTTTTTAAAATTAAATAAGATCTGAAACAACGTAGTACAGGGGTTCCACGGCGGATAAAATTTCGGAATTTAAGCAACTTTCGTGATGACCAGTTTAAGGATGGGTGGCATAAAATTTATCATCTCGAGCTCCTTTTACCAGATTTTATAGCCAACTTAAATTTTATAATACAGCAGCCCTCCTGATGTAAAGTGTCCCTCAGGGATGACACTTGGAGCCTTAACTCTTTTCTATTTTCATAAATAGCACCAAATTAGTACATTATGATATAAGTGCGGTAAATTGAGAATTACAGCCGAGGCGATATTATTGTAAAATGTGTGTGTACAAGGAGTGTAGTCAAGCACGGTGGCGGTAACATCAAAGTTTGAGGATGTTTGTGTGTTGGACCCGTTCGGAAGATTGAAGGTACAATGGATCAATGGCAATACAAAAATAATATAAATATATATATATATTTATTATTATTGTATATATATACTAGCTGTCCCAGCGAACTTCGTACCGCCATAAAAAATAGGGGTTGGTGGTAAAAGGGTGAAAATTTAGGGTTGTATGTATTTTGGTATGATGTATCATAAAAAAATATATCTAAAATTGAAAAAAAAAATATAGGGGTGGATTACCCTTAACATTTAGGGGGATGAAAAATAGATGTTGTCCGATTCTCAGACCTACCCAATATGCACACAAAATTTCATGAGAATCGGGAAAGCCGTTTCGGAGGAGTTTAACCACAAACACCGCGACACGAGAATTTTATATATTATTCATTTTTTTCATAGTGTCAAATAGCTTATTAGTTACATTACCTTCATCTCCTCGCGCGACGGTGGAGTGAGTTTAGAGTCATCGGTCTTCACTTCACCCGGGGGCATCTGGTTGAGGCACTGTTCTATGATGCGTAAGGATTGACGCATCTCTTCTACGCGGCAGAGGTATCTACAGATAAAAGACATTTTAAACACGACCTCCGTGGCCTAGTGGTATGTACGCGTGGTTTCAAGGTGTTGCCTATTCGGGATGTCCCGGGTTCGAATCCCGGTGAGGGCAGATGATTGCGTGATAAATACGAGCATTTGTACTCCAGTCATGGATGTTTAATATGTATTTCTATATCATCATCATCAGCCTATTAATGTCCCCATTGTTGGGGCACAGGCCTTCCCTATGGATGGAATAAGGAGATTGGGCCATGACTCACCACGCGGGCCCAGTGCGGATTGGTGGGTTCTAACGTCTGCAGATGCAGCCGGGACCAACGGCTTAACGTGCCTTCCGAAGCACGGAGGAGCTCGAGATAGTAAATTTTTGGTCACCCGTGACCGTTCATTGCGAAAGTTGCTTAACTTCAACGATCGCAGCCGAACGCGCTAACCACTGGCGCCATCGAGCTTCTCATACCTACTGAATATGCATATAAAATTTCACGAAAATCAGTCGAGCAGTTTCGGAGGAGTTCAATCACGCACGCCGCGACACGAGAATTTTATATATTAGATTAGAAAACTAAAATGAATGACTATATTTTAGTTCAATAACAAATTTTAATATTGTATGTATAATAATATATATATGTATGCATGAACCTCCAACCTCTTCTGTTCTTTCTGTATAGAGAGTGACAAGGATATACTGTTGTCAAATTTAAGTTTAGGTTCAAAGAATCATGCCAGAATTGCCAACATTATCCATTTCACCTACATAAACGAAATTTTATCAGCCAATTATATTAAATTCTATCAGTTAGTAGCATAAACGATATAAACCTAAATCAATTCCTTACTGACATGCTATATTGAACTATATTACCTAAACACTAAGGTATATATTCGTACCTGTCGTAGCAGTCCCCGTTGGTGCCGATGGGCACGTCAAAGTCAACCAAGTGGTAGGCGTCGTAAGGTTGCGTTTTGCGCAAATCCCATTTGATACCAGAACCGCGGAGCATCACACCGCTACAAGGAAAAAACCAAATTAAATAAATGAATACTGTTGAGTTACTTAATAAAAAAAATGTGTGCAGGGAGCATCTAAACATGCATATCTGAAGTGAAAATCCTTTTCTTAAATAACCTTTTTTTTTTCGTCAGGAAAAATGCGTATCGCATACCCTGTCACCTGGGAGTGGCAACGGGGTTATGTGGGACTCCTCCCGACCCGTCCGCTGAGCTAGTCCTGGGACTAGCTACTACTACCACTACCCTACCCACTAAAAACCTGACGATGCCCCTCACCTCACTCGGTCCACGGTCCCAACCAGCGTGGTTGAGACAACGGCACTAGATGAGGCTACGGGAACCCTTACGGAATCTTCCGCGACCTCACCAGTGAGCGTCCGAGTCGAACGGACACACTCCTCTCCCCCCGAAAGAGGGGAGTGTTGGAGATGCCCCGGAGCATCATGGGCATCCCCAGCCATCAGCAAAGACCTGTGCAAGGCAGGATCTGAACCTCCCAAGTCCAAACCCCGCAGCCTCTGTTTCTTAAATAACCTAACATTAGGCGGTGCATTATGCATAGGGGAATGGAGCAGATACTTTTATTTTTGAGTGTGTATGCTGTTGGTCGCAGATGACCTTTACAACGTCACCGGGTTTGGGGACGGCGAGATCCTAAGGGGACCTCAAACCGAGAATTGGCGAGTGCCTCTAGAGGTATTCCAGGCGGATGGCATCTCCCCACGGGGGGAGTCTCCTCTCCGTCTGGAGCCTCTACACCACTGGAACCTGAAGGGGTCGGCTCAACTAGAGGGCGTCTCTGAGACTCGGACCTCGGCTCTAGTTAGCCGTTGTCGTGGGGGGCGGGGATAAACGCCCAGGTAGAATGGAGCAGAGCACGCATCACTCATATACATATATATATGTACATACTGTCGCGTGTAACGCATTTCCGTTTCATCTTTTCCATAGGATTTTTCCATTTTGAAAAGAAGTTTCACTTCAAAAATGACACATAACATGGATATGGGGTTGCTGTGGGATCTGATACGTGGCCACCTTGATTGCCCTGAGCTGCTTGCGGGCCTCTCGCTATCTATACCTAATTATCGTACTCGTTACACTTCACTTTTTCATGTACACTCGCGGAAAGACCCGCTCTGTCACCCATAATGCCATAATCGCTTGCGGTAGCGGCGTAGTAAAAATTCATTCATAGACATGTAATTATCGCTGTCTTACTTTTTCGTATAGCGCTGTCGCGATCACGATGCGGATGACAAATTGCAACTAAAACAAATGCAATTCAATTCATTATTCAATCAATGAAATGCTCTCTGTCTTACTTTTGTGCGGCGGCCCGGATTGGCGCGTCCGACGCGAAGGCGGGGCGTAGTAAAAACTACTGTAGAAAACCGTTCAAAGCATTTTGTTGGCCAAGTGACAGAGCACAAAATTCCGCGATAGTACCATTGCACGGTACAAAATATGGGAACCATTCTAGCCTAACGCGCGTGTTACACTTAATTTTTTCAAGTCAAATTTAGAGACATAAATATATTTTTGGATCAAAACTGAAATTTAAAAATGCCCATAAATATACATATTTATTGTTTATTTTATGCATATTTCTATTTCATTTTGGTTGGTTGCAGATACATGAATGTTTATTAGACTCGTATCCAATTAGTGACTTTTCTCTGGTAATATCAAGTTTTCATTCCTTTCGCCCGCTTTGTTTCATCACTTAGGATTGAAGACTATTTCATCAATGTTTTTTTCTTTATTTTTATGTTTTATTTTGGGTAACTAAGGTTTACTTATGTTATTCCAGCTGTGTACATTTTCGCTGGCCTTTGGCTGTTTAATGTACCTTAATAAGAAAAATAAAATAAAATAAAAATAACGATATCTCGCCTTACCTAAACCCATAGTTGAGCGCGTCCTGTGCTGAAACCACCCCTATATCCTTAGTTCGCTGCACCCATATCCTGTTTGTGGTGAGTACATCTTCGACTTCGTCCAAACGCTCGGCGAATTTGGACGAGAACTCGTAAATGTCGTCCATAAGGCCCAGCGGCATGTCCTGCGAACAAGGGTAGACTTGTTCAGGGTGCTTGACAAGTTTTTAAAAACGATCTTTTAATTTTTTTATACAGGGTGTAAAAAAACCTTTAACGAATTCGAAGGCCACGTATTTTTCACGTCATTACGATCATTTTCTTCTTCTGGACCATACCTGGGAATTTGATGGTTTTGGAGATATTTAAGGTGTAAGTAAAAAATTTTTTTCAAGATTTATACATTAATATTTTCAAAACGTTATTTAGAAACTTTTTTATCGACGGACTTACACACACGCACACACAGGCACATTCTTTGCGTAGCGTCACAGTAGCGCGCCGCGCTATACATTGCGTACTGCAAAAAAATGTATTTTTATTACTTAAAAATACAAAATTTTCCCATAAATAATAATAAATATTTCCAACACTCACACCAATTAGCCTAGCCCCAAAGTAAGCACTGTAAGGCTTGTGTTATGGGATACTAAGGTAACGGATAGAATACATATACTGTACATATATAAGTATATATATAGAAATACATATTAAACATCCATGACTGGAGTACAAATGCTCGTATTCATCATATAAATTTCTGCCCCCACCGGGATTCGAACTCGGGACCTCTCGAGTCGGTGACACCATGAAACCCGGCGTACAAACCACTCGGCCACGGAGGTCGTCAATGTATAATATTTTGTAATATCTTCATTTGAAAAACTTTCGAGTGTACTGTGGCGCTACGCAAAGAATGTGCCTGTGTGTATGGGTGTGCGAATGTGTAAGTGCGTCGATAAAAAAGCTTCTAAATAACGTTTTAAAGTATTAATGTATAAATCTTGAAAAAAAAATTGTGACTGACCTTCAATATCTCCGTAACCATAAATTTCCCAGGTATCGTCCAGAAGGAAAAAATGGTCGTCATGATGTGGAAAATACGTGGCCATCGACTTCGTTAAAGGATTTTTTACACCCTGTATTTGCGATCCATGTCACTATTATTAAAACACGTCCAATACGGCTGTTTACCGTTGTAGGTATTGGCACCTTAACCAAATCTTTGCCGCACGAAACTTTCTGTCCAAAACTCAATCCTAACTTTCTAAATTAAAGCTATTTACTGACATTTGCCACTTACCAAAGACACTCCTCCCGGTCTAATATTAGCAGCGTGCATCCTAGCACCGCCGACTCTCTCGTAGAACTCAAATATCTTCCCTCTCTCTCTCATCTCCCACAAACGCCATAAACTGTAGTTTCTCCTCTCACCATAAATTTTCTTTCCCTCCTCTAAACAGCCATAAAAAGTTGCCAGTAGATTCTGCACTCACCAACGAGAATCTCGTCGAACAGCCAATAGAAATAAACTAGATTAGGTGTGTTGATCCTTAGATTCTCCACTCACCAATGAAACACCTCCCGGTCTAATATAAGCAGCGTGCATTCTAGCGCCGCTGACTCTCTCGTAGAACTCCATCATCTTCTCTCTCTCTTCGAACAGCCAGAAAAAGGGAGTCAGAGCACCCACGTCCAGAGCGTGGGTGCCCACCGCCATTATGTGGTTGAGGATGCGGGTGATTTCGGCGAATAAAGCTATGATAGAAAGAATTTTGTTATTAATAAGCTATAGAGAATATAGAAAAAATGTTATCATTAGTTTATCGCCTCAGCTGTTTAAGTGGATGATTTCAGCCAGCGGTTGAGGTAATATTTTCATATTTAAATATTTCCTATTTTACGTTTTATCATATTTAGTAATGGTTTTTAATTTGCACAACTAATAAATAGATAAGTTTGCCCTCTCGTGCGGCAATGCGCATGTGCCCTTCATCTGACCTGCGGTAGCCACCTTCATGAGGCCCCCCGCGGGGTGGGAATGACTGCATTGCTTTGCCGATTTCTCTGTTATTTTGTAAGAATACCCTACACAAACTATATATATTAATAACTATAGACACTATTCAAGATTGATTTAAGACATAAATAAAGCCTGGATGTACAGTAGACTACAAGCTTAGACTAGATACGCCATTTTTTATTCATGTCCAACGATATTAAATACCCTAGATACAACAACACGAACAAAATCGTGGCCGAAACCTGTCCAAAAGGTACATTGGACGATCCACGGAGCTCCGTAAGATGATTGCGTAGACAAAATCAATATAAAGTATTATTTAATCATTGAAAGTCACCTTTAATACATACTGTGTAAGGTCTTAATTAAAACGCATGCGTCACAACTGACGGTTCGAAATGCAAGCTCGTAAAATTTTACGACTTATTGCTATATGCGGAAGAATAAAGACTTTATTTCTTTGACCCTACGCGCAATTCTGAATGCACTGTTAGCAATAGAGCAGTTACGGATCGCGAGGAAAAGAGATATTTTCTATTAAATCAGTTTATAGTAACTATTACAGCAAAATTTGCTTTAAATGCGTTAAATGACACTTTACGTACTGAAAGTATTTATTTAGCATTTTTTCACGGAGCTCTACGGCATGTTGACTTTTCATCGGTCCGCGCGTGACTGTGAACCAAGAAGTACTTGAGTGGTGTTCAAGCACTTCTTGATTGGGACACATTTTGAGTGAACGTGGTGTATGTAGTGTTAGTTATAATTATTAAACTCTACTTTAGTTAAGCAAAACTTGTTATTTTTCTAACGCTAGTATGTTTTGATGACATGACATTCCGTATGTGACGTTATGCCAATGTTGCCATTTTCTATAATTTAAATATGACTTGTTAGTAAGCGGAAACACTTCCGGTGTAGCGGAGTTTGATATCTGAATGATTAATCGATGTAATGTCGATTGATCATCCGTATTCAAGGTGGTTGCATAAACGTAGGCTGTATTCCGTGTTGGCTGTATGGTGACATTGGCTTCGCGAATTTTATGGGATGCTGTGTGCACGTCTTTATGAAGTATTGGCTATGATACCGGTCAGAGAAAAGCTGCATAAAGACGTTAATATATGAAAAGTGACAAATGTGTGGATGTGGAGAGTTATAAAAGAGCGCTTCACCTTAGTTTGAGTAACTTTTGCTGCGATCGTCGTCCTAGTTGGTGATTCAATAAAATAGTGAACCTCTGCAGAGTTGTAATTTATTATAAGACTAATAATAGGGTATTTAATATTGTTGTTAATGTCACTCAAATGCCATTTGTCATTCATTCAACAAAAGGAGACAAAACATGGATTAACTAATCCAAGCTTATTCTGCGTTTATTAATAGGGGGGTATGAGTTTGTCCGTGCCTCAGTGAAGTAAAATACTTGTTTGTCAACCTTTAATAAATGAAAAATCGAAAACTTACTCCGAATGTATTTGGCCCTTAAAGGAATGTCGATATTGAGAAGTTTCTCGACGGCCAAACTGTAGCACTGTTCGTTGCACATCATGGAAACGTAGTCCAGCCGGTCGAAGTAAGGTAACGCCTGGGTGTAAGTCTTGTATTCTATGAGTTTCTCCGTGCCTCGGTGAAGGAGGCCTATGTGGGGGTCTGCAGCACGGACAGTCTGGGAACAAGAAATTTTATAATCATCATCAGCCTATTAATGTCTCCGCTGCTGGGGCAAAGACCTACCCAATGGATGGAATAGGGAGATTGGGCATAAAATACATGCTAAAAGAGACAGCAAAGCTCTTTCATTGACACTTATTTATTTATGCACGTCACTGTTGTCGATACCGGATGACAATGAATGTTTTAATCATAAGTTTTGATTCTTTTTTTTAAATGAATACTATTACTTTGAGAACTATTAACGGGATTCTTACTATGTACCTTGTTTTTTATGAGTCTCCGATATTTCGGCACTTTCGGAATGATGTCTTAAGTCATATTTAAACTTGTCAATTATTTACAATAATTAAACAGGGAGAAAAAAACAGCCCTTGCTGAGTTTCTTGCCGGTTCTTCTCAGTACAAGGTCTCCCGCCGTAGATTTACGAACCGATGGCGTAGCTTTTAGACATTGATGAGTGCTCGTAAAAGCCTAAAATAAATTAATTATTTTGATTATGATTGAATTACTATCTACAATCAACTCACTTCACCATCTAACTCGAGCACCAGCCGTAATACACCGTGAGCGGCCGGATGCTGCGGCCCAAAGTTCAATATCATGTTGCGTAGATTCTTCTCACCGGGCTTGATCACACCTGGGGACAAGGATCAAGATATACGATCAACCTTTGATCTTTACACCCTAATCATTTGAGGATTTTAACCTTGTACAAGCCTGTACACTGGATGTCTAGATGAAACTAGGGCATTTTTACACAAAAAAAAAACAACGCAGTCCAGGCAGCCGACTCGAATCCGCACCCTCGGCTATCCGGGCGGATGTACTGACCAAAAGGTCCTGATAGAATAATTGGTCAGTGCATTCACTCGGACAGCGGACGGTGCGGGTTTCCTAGTAAATTTTTCTTTAGATTTAAACATCTAGCAGTTAAATGCTTAAAATAAAAATATAATAAATTATCGAAGATCTCCGAGGCCGTGGGTTTTGCGCCGGCTTTCATGGTGTCGCCAAATCGAGGGGTCTCGGGTTCGAATGCTCAAATCAAATCGTAAGTGGCCTGGCCTAGATTTAGGGCTTAGATTAGGATTGTTTGAAGTTAATCAACTTTCGCAATGGTCGGTCAGTGGATGGAGGTCCAAAAATTTACTAACTCTCCTCCGTGCTTCGGAAGGCCCGTAAAGCCGTTGGCCCCGGCTACATCTGCAGTTGTTAGCACCCACCAATCTGCACTGGGATCGGGTGGTGGGTCATGGCCCAATTTCCTTATTCCATCCATAGGGAAGGCCTGTGCCCCAGCAGTGGGGATATTAATAGGCTAAAGATAGGCTATGGTTGCCTCTTTCCATCAGGCCGGCCATAAGCCTGTTTGCGTTTGCCACCGTTTTAACATAAATAAAATGAAACTAGTTTTTGCAGGTTAATGCACGAAACTTTATTTATTTATTGACGTTAAATAAAAGTTTGATTCTGACGACGTAGCCTGTAAAGGCTACGAAACGTCAATAAATAAATAATTTTTCATGCATTAACCCGTAAAAACTAGTTTTATTTAATGAGTGATGTGCGTGAAAACCTAAGAAACAAATATAAATAAAATGATTGAAAAATCAAGTCCTAAATTAAAGATAATTATATACTAACTGTTGTAAGGCGGATGTTTCATCATTGCCGTGAAGCCCTCTGGGTAGATGACGATACCCTCAAACTGCTTCACATACTCTGCATCCGGGAACCATCTGTGTGCTTTGCGTTCAGAGCTGAAACAAATCAAATAAATTGCCTTATTAGTATTACTAGCGGCCAATGATTTTGTCCGCAGAAGAGTTAGGTTTTTGAGACCCCTCAGGAACTTAAATAAAAGTACACAAATACAGCATTACTTTACTTCGACAGGGTGAACTATGGCCATGATATGCAATGAACAATGCTACAGTTGGCTGTCAAGAAAATGCTCAATGTCTTAATCCATAAACTATTACTACTATTACTACTACTATATGCATACCAAATTAAAACCAAATACATCCAGTATTTTTTGCATGACTGAGTAGCAAACAAACTTTTACATTTATAATATTAATGGGATTTCAGTTTTTTGCACTATATAGTCCTAATGGAACTAGTCACTGAAACCTAGAAGATCTATTGCGACTTGCTCCACTTCACAGGCAGTAGACGGGACTTGAACTGAGCATTATTGCTACTGCAGTCCTGATGGCCATGTCAAATTTTCTGTAGCCTTTCTTAGGCTCCATCGCAAGAAACGGAGTATATCTTCGCAATTTACCTTTACAAGTATTAAACATTTGAAAGAAGGTCTCCATGGAATTTTTTCTAAAAAAATTTTCTTTAGATTTAAACATCTAACAGTTAAATGCTTAAAAAATATGATAATTTTTAATAGCCTTTCTATTTTTATTTGAAATTAATTCTAAGTCAAACCATGTCATATAAATTTGTTGATTAACCTGTGATATCTTTATGTGCATGTGTGTGTGTGTGTTGTGCTTTCACAAAAGTGAAAAGCTCAAGGTAGAACAGATATGTGGTTATTTACTTAAAGACTAAACCACCATAGTCTGTTTCGACCGAGCAGTCTTTCTTGTGTCTCTCTCACTACTGGATATCGGTGAAATTTCTGTGTAAAATAGAGAAAGCCACAGGCACAATAAAATTAAAAGGACTATGGTGTTGTTGATTAACAAAGTGACAGATTGCTTTACTTTATATGTATTACATATCATATTATATCTTTGCATATCTTCTATTCCGAAGTTTCCCTTATCACCATTCCAACATACAACAAAATCGGCTCAGCTGTTTAGCTGTGAAATTGCAACAGACAGTTACTTTCAAATATACAACATTTTTAAGGATATTTATATATTTACCTAAACGTATCAACATTAAACTACATAGCAAATTCGTTGTTAGAGGTAGATTTAAAATAATTAAGCTATATTAACACAAACTAATTGTATTTAAATGGCAAAATATCAAACTTAAATGTAATATAAAAGAAAACATTTCATTGAGGAAATCTATAAATAACTTGACAACTTTAGAGTAAAAACAACATATAATTTGTAGTTCAAATTATTAATAATAAAATATAAGTGAATTACATACAATAACACCTAAATATTGAGATAAATACAAATTTGTAACCTCAAATTGTTACATAATTATTTACTTATTATAATGCTGATTTTGGTATATTGTCGTCATATATTCAATAATGTATACTTACTTCACATTATAAATTGCAGGCACATTTTTTAATAGAGCTGTATTTTGACCAAAATTCGCTGATTTTCGCAACAAAACATTGAGTAAGGAGGCCATCTTTTCAGGGACTACGTTCTAGGCATGCGTCCGATATATCAAAACGAATCCAAAATCCGATTTCAAACACAAATCGATACCGAACGATTTCTCAACAAGAAAATCCGATTTCAGAAATCTAACCGAACCAAAACGCCAGCGATCTAATACCACCACAAGTATCCAAATATAAATCGGATTCGAAATTCATGCAATCTTTTTTACTCCGCTATGTAGCGATTGGTTAGAAAGAGAGAAAGTGAATTTCTTTGTCTCTTTCTTACCAATCGTAACAAAGTGGTTTTTTACTCCGCTTAGAGGGCGCAAATTTCGGAAGGCCGATTTCGGTTTGTTGTTTCACTGAAAAGAGGTGTCGTCTAGAAACATCAAAAGTCGAGCAACTTACATTTATGAACCCTAACCTGAAGGAATTAGGTTTGATTTTGTAAATGGTTTGAAAAATAATAAAAACAAACAGAACAATAAAATTCATCAAAAAAAAAAATACTAAAAAAAATTGTAAAAAGAAGTCATTGCCCGTTTTTTTAGCTAATAAAACCAAATCTTAACGCAAACTAGTGAATTGGCTAAGTTAGGCACATCTGAAATCGGATATCTAAAAACGGATTTTGAAATCGATTTTGAAATCTGAAATCCGATATATATCCGTTTGCGTTCAAAACCAAAAACGCCCATGTCTACTACGTTCCTATTCACGTAACTCGTCGACTAAAATGGTGACATGTCAGCTGTTAGTACTTCTTTGCATTGAAAATAAATTTGTTTCTTGAAATTGAATTAATCATTTCCCTTTTTACCAATAATATATACAAAACCAAAGTAAATTTTTACTAAAACACATATAGGCAAGGGTTTAAAATGATAATTGAAAGTGTATCGGCCACATACATTTTTTTTAGAAATTCTACTGCGTAGAAAGATTCGTATTCAAAAGCATGGACCTACTACAAAATAGTACGTCCATGGTGAAAAGCATAATTCGAAAATGTTGTTGAAAATATGACCAAATTATTTCTTATGATTTTATTTATTTTTTAAGTATTTAACTGCTAGATGTTTAAATCTAAAGAAAAGTTAACTAGAAAAAAAATCCACGCAGACCAGGCAGCGGACGGGACTCGAACCCGCAAATAATTTCTGCTAAATTCGACATCGGCATGGCCGATCATTGACATGTTTTACTTCCCTAGACATTCGACCCTATATTATAAAGGACTCAGGTATGGTGGGAGTACTTTACAAGATTGTTCTGAAACTTTCACAATGGCCGGTCAATAAGTGTGTGACCAAAAACTTATTATATCGAGCTCTTTCGTGTTTCGGCAGGCACACTTCAGAGTTCAGTGGGGGTGGCGTAGCATTTCATGAGTCTGTTTTTGCCTTTAAACCTTATCGAACCAACTCCTGCAATCCAGCAGATGTGTGGTGTGCAAGTGTGGAAAGCAATAGTGCAGCGTGCAGCCAATACCTATATGAACTATTGACCGTACGATCGCTCCGTCTCTCTCACTCTTATCTGCCCAGTCTTACTTTACAGTTAGACAAGCAACGTCAGCCCATTTTATATCGAGCAAGAAACGGCAAAAAATCACGTTTGTTTTATCGTTTTTGTTTGTGAAGCCTCACTTAAATATTTATAAAAAAAAATATTTAAGGGAGGCTTCCATAAATATTTAAGGTAAAAATTTCAACAGTCCCGCTATCACGGTTTATTAGATACACACTGGTGACAGACAGATAGATGGACACTGGAGTCTTAGTAGTAGGGCCCCGTTTTTACCCGTTTTAACAGGGCCGGATTTAGAGGTGTGGAGGCCAGGAATGTGTGGGGACCACTATTATCAAATCTTAATCGAAATTTTGTTATTATTTTTTTCTTTTTTCATTTATTGGGATCAAACAAACAGTTTCACAATATATATTAGTTCTTAGTAAATGAAAAATCTATCTTATTAATTGTGAAGCCAACACTTTTGTAATATCTAAACTGAGTTTTCAAGAATAGAGAAAAATTATAATAATCATATGCTATCTAATCAAGATCTAAGCAAATTTTCTTATTTAATGTAGCGACCCCCTTCTTATGTGGGGACCCCTGGGCCACAGCTCCACCTGCACTGCCTTAAATTCGGCCCTGACCCTATGGGTAAGGAACCCTAAAAATAAAATACAAAACTTTGATCAACTATTTTATTTACAACTACTCATTCGTCTTCGACGATTTCAGGTAAATCTCTGTCAGTTTCTTGATCGAAATAGTTTTCTGGGATCACATAGTTTTCCGGCGGCCTCATAGGACCAAAAACCCTTTTTTGGCTGCTGTTCTTATCGCTCTCTTGCGTTGTCGTATCTCCATCCTTTTCTGTAGAAGTTTCTTTGGTCTTTTCTTGATGACGATTATTGCTTTTAATTTCTTTTTCAGTAACAATTTTATTTTCTATAGTTTCTTCGTCTGAGTCAACTTCTTCAACGAATTCCTCTTCCACTTTCTTGATTTCTTTTGCGACTTTGGGCTTCTTCATCCCGTCTTCTTTTAATCTTATCCTGGGAAAAGAAGTTATTTGTTAATTATATTAATTTAAAGCATTTAACTGCTAGATTTTTATATAGCTATAGAGAATTTTACTAGAAAAAAATCCACGCGATCCAGGAAGCAGACGGCACTCAAAACCGCACCCTCCGCTATCCGAGCGGCAGCTCTGACCAATTAAACTACTGCGACCTTGATGACCGTGACGAATTTCTTCTAGTATTTCTTAAGCTGTACGGCAGCGCCATCGCTTTGCATAGTAGTTAACCCACAATGGAGAAGTTATCGTAAGTTTTTTTTTATTATTTTTCGTTGTAATAACAGTTATAGATATACACTAAATTAAACCATATCAGCCTATCTAACCCTACTGCTGGGGCACAGGCCTTCCCTACGGATGGAATAGGGAGATTTGGCCCTGACCCACCACGCGGGCCCAGTGCGGATTGGCGGGTGCTACCGACTGCAGATGCAGCCGGGAACAACGGATTAACGTGCCTTCTGAGAATTATAAATATCCAAATATCTTTATATGGAGTCACGGGTGTCGATTCTAGTATGGTTCTCTCTAAACCTAAACTTAAATTTGACAACAGTGCATCCTTGTCATTCTCTATACAGAATGAAAAGGAGAGACTGATGTAAAATTAAGTTTTAAGTTTAGAGAATCATATCACAAACGACCACTATACATTTATAAAATAATCTATCAACATTAAAAAAAATAACTTGTCAAATAGCCTATTGAACATAGAGGTTAGAGAGAGCCCGCCTGTCTCTAAAAATTTGTAGAATTTATAGTTCATTTTTGAGCCACCAGCCGCGCTGCCGTCGGTAAGTAGTATCTGTGAAGTTGGCTGTTTATGAGTACAAGTAGATGAAGTTAGTTGAATAATGTACAATTTTTCTTCGCGGCATTGGTCATTTCAAATTAGCGCACAACAGCCCGTTTTTATGGAGACAACTTAGCGATCGCAGCGCCTCACTTATTTTGACCATATTTCTGGGACACGATTTTCTCAGCGATCGTTCTCCTTCTCTGTAACCTCCATGCTATTGAATCGCCCAGACACACAATACAGAACACAATTAATAAATACCTTAAATCTAAAGAAAAGTTTTACTCAAAAAAAAATCCACGCGGACCAGGCAGCGGACGGGACTCGAACCCTTCGCAATCCGGGCGAATGCACTGACCAATTATGCTACCATGGCCTGAGGGCCGCGTCGAAATTTTCCTAGCCTTAAGCTGCAAGGCAGCGCCATCTTTTCGCATTGTAGGTAACCACAATGGATTTTTTTCTAGTAAAACTTTTCTTTAGATTTAAACATCTAGCAGTCAAATGCTTAAAAATAAAATAAAAACATAATAAATACCTCTTCCCGTAGACTACGGAGTTGTTGGCAACTTTGACGGCCATCTTGGGTTCCGTTTGCTTCACCAGCGGCGGTAAATGTGCCGGTCTTGCTAACTCTGCTAGTCTTTGTGTCTTACTTAACTCGGACTTGAGTTTCTGTATTGACATCTGTGAACAAGACATACTTTATAAAATATTATTTATAATATTAAAGATAGCAATATTTTTATATATGGCAATCGTAAAATTTTAAAACCATTTGATTATAAATTATAATCTATCTTGCGAGGTTATAAACTGTCGAAAGATTGTGAACCGTTATACAGCTTACAATTGAACGCATTAGTTTTCGGTAGATTATAATCTATCTAAGTGACCTGGTATATCAGAATCTGTCTGTAAATTTGCAACTAACAGAAGGCTGTCCCTGGCTGGTCGGTCTTCGGAAGTCGGTCAGTGTCCATACAGTTAGGAATTATTTGGCAAAACTATTTCAGTTCAATAAAGCAGGCAAGATGCGTTTTATCGCAAGCCAGTTGCCAGTTCACAATTTAACGATTTCTCTTCGACAGATTATAATCTACCTAATAATGCATGAAATTGTAAACAGTATGATAGTATCACAATCTTTCGACAGTTTACAATTTCGCGAGAATTATAAAATTTCCCATTTGTAAAGGCAGTACACGTAAAGGCAGATATCGTGGTTATGGCAGAATCCCTAGAGGACCTTGGCACAATGCTCAATGACCACAGCAGTGTTTCCCAACGGGTTCGTTTAAGGATGAACATGGATAAAACCAAAATCATGTTCAATGTCCATGTCACTCCAGCACCAGTATCCGTTGGGAATGCGATTCTCGAAGTTGTCGATCATTACGTCTACCTAGGACAAACAGTCCAGTTGGGCAAATCCAACTTTGAGAAAGAGGTCAACCGACGAATCCAACTCGGATGGGCAGCGTTCGGGAAGCTTAGGCACATCCTCACGGCCAAAATTCCCCAGTGCCTGAAAAGAAGGGTCTATGACCATTGTGTGTTACCAGTGATGACTTATGGGACTGAGACGTGGTCTCTGAATGTCGGCCTCATAACAAAACTCAGAGTCGCGCAGCGTGCTATGGAGAGGGCCATGCTCGGTGTTTCCCTACGTGATAAGATCCGAAATACGGAGATCCGTAGAAGGACCGGTGTGTACGACATAGCCCGAAGAGTTAGCACGCTGAAGTGGCAATGGGCAGGCCACATCGCTTGAGGATCTGACAACCGTTGGGTAAGAAAGGTCCTCGAGTGGCGACCACGTACCGGACGATGCAGCGTGGGGCGGCCCCCAACAAGGTGGACCGACGATATCGTCAAATGTGCTGGGAGCCGCTGGATGCGGATAGCGCAGGACCGCGCATCGTGGCGCTCTATGGGGGAGGCCTATGTCCAGCAGTGGACGGAGAAAGGCTGATGGATGGATGGATGGATGGAAAGGCAGTACACTAAATCTATACAGCGTCATCAAAACACTTTTTTTTCAAACAGCTTTGTGACCACGATGCTTTTGAAGTTCAGAACAATATTTTAAATTCAACGATTTTTTTATGAGTTTCGTCATACGATGAAAACGGTACAACCTAGTTTTAACAAAGAAATCATCTTTTAAGAGGGGGTTGGAATTTTGCACGAGAAACCGATTTTTCCATTTATATATTTTTTCAAGTTTTTATATCTACACTATATTGAAACTTCCTCTGAGAAAAAAGATAAACAAACCGTGAAAAGGTCTTTCAATACGTCGAGTTTTATAGGCGCATAAATTCATAATAAACGAATGTTTCCCCAGGTCCGTCATGAGCGCTAGGATCCATGATGGAGTCATTGCAATGGATCTAGGTAAAGGCAAGGGCGGAACCAGCTTTTTTTTTTATACATAGGTCCGACAAATGACTCAACCCCACCTAATGTGAAGTGAAGGTGAAGTCCAGACGCGAAGATAGCTGATACAACAGTTCTAACTGCCACACCAGCCATCCTCATCCTGCCGGCCTGCATGTTGATTCTTCAAGCCTCTTTTAAAGGATCCCAGGTTGTAAGAGGGAGGGAACACGTGAGCAGGCAGAGCATTCCATTTACGGATTGTGCGACAAAGAAATGAGTCACCAAATTTCTTTGTACGCGTTGGCGCCAGGGGGGGATCATATAGTCGTGGTCAAGTCACAGTAGGTACATTGTGAAGTGGGTACAGATGGACCCAGCCCAAGGGGGGGTCATGACCCCCATTCCCCCCCCCCCCCCCCCCCGTTCCGCCCTTGGGTAAAGGGAGGCTATAAGATATGTTTTTACCTAAAAAGGGGGATATTAATGAATAAAATCTCACCTTAGTCTTCGATATCTCCGCCTTCTGAGCCATACTCTGCCCCTGTTTGCCCAGTGACGTCATGAACGCGTCCAAAGCGTCCGTATCGGCGTCCGTATACGCATCCGTATCGCGAGACGTCCGTAAACGCTCTAAACACCTTTCTTCGGACGATATTTTGGATTCTATCTCGGTGATTTGCTTGAGCTGCCGCGACAAAGGGAAAAAACATCATTTTAATAGTTGTTTTTATTATTTCTTTAAGCATTTTAACTGCTAGATGTTTAAATCTAAAGAAAAGTTTGTAATAGAAAAAAATCCACGCGGACCAGGCAGCAGACGGGACTGGAACCCGCACCCTTCGCAATACGGGCGAATGCAATGACCAATTATGATACCGCGGCCCTGATGGCCGCGTCGAAATTTTCCTATCCTTAAGCTGTAAGGCAGCGCCATCTTTTCGCATTGTAGGTAACCCACAATCAGGCCATCAGGGCCGCGGTAGCATAATTGATCAGTGCATTCGCCCAGATTGCGAAGGGTGCGGGTTCGAGTCCCGTCTGCTGCCTGGATTTTTTTCTATTAAAAACTTTTCTTTAGATTTAATCATTTTAATAGTTTTTTTTTATAATACCTACCTATAATATTATCTTGCTAGCTGAATCGTTTATATTATAAATCTGTCTCACTATAGACAGTTTAAAAATAGTTTATAGTTCGGAAAATGTATCAAAGTAACTGGACGTGTGTGTGTTTAATTCAAGGTTTTATTTGTTCTTCCACTGTATAAATTGATGTGATATCACTGTATAATCGCTGGTGTATCAAATACACTAGCTATCCGCCCCGAATTGGCATAGGTGAAATTCATTCTAACGTCACCTTCTATCTAAGAAGATTCCCAATTTCAAATCTTTAAAAATCATGACATTACCTTTTTAATATAACTGCCAGCCGTAGGCATTACATGAACAAAGAGTTTACCCAAACAAGGAGGCTGTAACGCAACGGACGTTACAGTACTTTTTAATAGGGCAAAAATTACATAACATCCTTTTGTTAATACCCTAATATGGGGTAATATTTATATAAAAAGTAATGGGGTAATACTTATATAAAACCATTTTCCTAATTGGGTAATATCACACTCACCAGATCGTCGTAAGTGAGTGGTTTCGCCTTATCCCCTGTGTCCTCACTGGCGCCGTGTCTCATCATCCTCAGCGTCCTCTTCTTCTCGACACTGCCCGTTCTATCGAGAAACGTGTCTTCATCGGAGTCGTAATAGTCGTCTGCGCTCCAATCGCGCTGTTTCCTTCTGCGTGACTCTATAAAGAAAATGTGTATGTACCTAAGATAAATCCTCACTGTGTTAACGAGATGTTGCCCTGCCTAAAAAATATTAAAAAAAAATAAGAACCGACAACAACGTCACATTTACAAGTTCAAGAAACGCGACACCTCCTGAAAGTCAAAAAAAAACTTAATAAATCTAATATATAAAATAGGCTAGTTGCCTATGTTTTAAAAAGTGGTTAATAATATACCTTGATGTTTATTTAACCCCAAACCTATATTATTTTAAATAAAAAAGTACATTAGCAATATGTATTTTGTATTTTAAAAAACTTATTCAAATTTCCCTCGAAAACGCTCTAGACTGTCATGGCGTCTAGAATGACGTCACGCCGTGCAAAGCAAACAATACACTGTACGCCGACTATTAAAATTATTTAGTTAAAAATGAATCCATCGTATTACAAGTACTGTATAGTGTCCTAGTATAAAAGGAGAAGCATAAAACGCCAGACAAATTATTTATATGCCACAAATGCGGAAAAAATGGTTAGAACTTGCAAGGAGGGATGGTACCTATTCATTGTTTATCAACAAATACAAGAATAATTTTGTGATGAACATTTTGATGTAAGTATTTTGCATAACATAATCAATGAAATCAAAATGTTATACAAGCCGGATAAATTATATTGCATTATATTGATAAAACAATGACAATAGGTTGAGGTTAGGTAAGCTGATTTAATTTTATGGTATGATTTAGAGTATTTGAGAGTTCAGTATATTTATTCATAATAATAAACACTTCTTATTCTTGTTCTAGTTGCCAAATGATATGCTTAATTATGTCGAGTAGTTATGCGATTATTTTTTTATTTAGGTTAAAATATTATTATTTGCTTCGGTAAATCCCAATTCTATGGATTTATTGGCAAAAACAAACTGATAATTGTATCAAAGTAACAATAACATGAATGAGATATCAATGAAATGTATGGAAACGGCAACCACAAGTAATGTTTTGCACGTGGTGACGTCAGTCTTTCTGATTGGTGTTTGCCATCACGTGATCTAATGCCTATTTTATTCGAATTTATTTTCTAAAAATAATAATAATCTTTAATTATGATGATAAATAGCTTTATTTTTTGTTATCTGTATATCATAATTCATATTTAGAAACTGTAACCCATTCGATTTATTGTTAGTTGACACAAGCCTATTCTCTTGTCTCGTGTGTTTGTGGTTAAACTCCTCCAAAACGGCTTTCCCGATTCTCATGAAATTTTGTGTGCATATTGGGTAGGTCTGAGAATCGGACAACATCTATTTTTCATCCCCCTAAATGTTAAGGGTAATCCACCCCTATTTTTTTTTCAATTTTAGATATTTTTTTTTAATTTTTTTATGATACAGCATTAGTAAATACATATAACCCTTAATTTTCAACCCTTTACAATCAACCCCTATTTTTATGGCGGTACGAAGTTCGCTGGGTCAGCTAGTAAATATATAATATCAGTCAATTCGCTCTCAAGTTGAACAATAGAAATAGCAAGTCGCTTTTACATAAGAACTAGAGGATTTCACAATGTCCTGCCGACCAGCCTTACCGATAAAATTGTAAAAATAAAATTAAAACCCGGCTACTTTTTATTTTTTTACCGATATGTCCGACTAATGACTCCACCCCACCTGATTCTAAGTGAGGGTGAAGTCCAGACGCGAATATAGCTGATACAGCAGTTCTACCTGCCACACCAGCCATCCTCACCCTGCCGGCCTGCATGTTGCTTCTTCACGCCTCTTTTAAAGGATCCCAGGTTGTAAGAGGGAGGGAACACGTGAGCAGGTAGAGCATTCCATTTACGGATAATGCGACAAAGATATGAGTCACCAAACTTCTTAGTACGCATTATTTCTGACAAACTTTCTTTTTTTCTGTATGTATCTCTTATCTATTAGACAAGTCCGTCCGTCCGTGGTGCTGTTTCAGCGGCCAAACCGTAAGAGATAGATAAAGAGAATATTTAAGTTATAAGTTAAGAATAGTCTGATGAGACTACTAACCGGATTTGAGTAACGTAGCACTTCCGGTTTTCGAGAAATCAGGTTTTGGTGAACATTTGGTTCACTGGTTTGCTAGTATACATATAAGTACATATAACAAAACTTAAAAAATAGCAATCTGTAGTTATGGCGTGACCAAGGACTATAGGCATGATTTTATATAATTACTAGCTGACCCAGCGAACTGCGTACCGCCATAAAAATAGAGTAGAAGAGAAATTTAGGATTGTATGTATTTTATAATACCACATAAAAAACTAATCTTATCCAAAAAAAATTTAGGGGTGTGTAACGTAGTGTTCTATCAATTTCCTGGGATAACATTCCTCCTAACCCATATGAGAACACTGCGTCACAATACCCAATAGTTTGAATATTGGCGCAAAGGCGCATTGTGGGTTTCAGAACACTACGTTACAGGTGGGCAACCATTAACACTTAAGGATATGAAAAATAGATAGTAGCCGATTCTCAGACCCACGGAATATGCATATAAGATTTCATAAAAATCGGTCAGGCCGTTTCGGAGGAGTATGGTAACTAACATTGTGACACGAGAATTGACTGATTCCCTCTTGATTTTTATCACTAAAGATTTGATTTTTATTCATAAGATATAATTTTACTCATTCTATGCTTCTATGTCTTCCCTTTTCGATAACTTGTGTTTCAAAGAAACAAGCAGCCCACCAAACTGACAAAAATAAACAAATTTCTATCACCACTAAAGACGACTAGTGTGGAGATACAATAATCGTTTACAAAGAAAGCAAAACACAGAGGCCTAGTATAACTAACTACTCATTATTCTGTGGGTAAAATTTCTGCTACATATATCTATTTTTCAAGGAGGAAATCGTCGAGAGCCAAACCTCAAATTTTGCAATTTTCATACGCAACTTTCAGCCTAAGCTACTGTTGTCTCTATCGCTCCGTATTTGCCAATGTAGCGACAGCAATAGTTAATTCAAATACCTATTTCTCAAATGTCTCTCAGCCGCTCATAAACCCACTCACCATAGCTGTTTCTTAGGTTTTCACGCACATCCAGTGTTGCCAACTCAGATTTTGAAAAAAGCGTAGGCAAGATGAGAAAATTACGTAAAATTAGTAGGTAAAATTTGCATATGAAAAGTTCGTAGATCTACGTATTCTTTTCTGAGTGAAATAAATAAGTTAGGACTGGTGAAACCGAATAAATCGAGTATTTTGTTATACAATTTATTCAAACAAGGGAGATAGAAGATAGAGTTCTTGTAGAAGTCGCTGCACTGGCAGCATTTACCATGCTGTGGTAGACATTTACCATTAGACACAGACACTGGTGGGTGTCGATTCTAACATGATTCTCTAAACTTAAAACTAAATTCAACATCAGTCTCTCATTCCAATCATGGTGGACTGCGTTTTCAGTGTTTAAAAACCATATTTCAATTTAAATTACTACAGCCATTTTCTAATTTGATTAAATGAATTAGATGTATTTAGGTTCCTCATGCCAAAAATTTTAAGAAATAAACATTTGTATAGTTCTTAAGTAAAGTAACGCAAAATATGCTTCTTCATTATAGTGAGTTATGTTATTTTGCAAATTTGTACAAATTAAAAGAAAATACGTCGATTCTGGGACTGAAGTTAGTAGGTTTGCAGAAAAGGCCTAAAGTACGTAGATCTACGTAAAAAAACGTAGAGTTGGCAACACTGCGCACATCACTCATTAAATAAAACAACATTTCAACTGGTTAGATGCATTATTCCGACGCAATGGCGGCGCTAGACTACATGTGGACGTCGGCGACATCAAGTTCGCGAGGCCTTTTTTACTTCGCAGTAAAAAACCGTTAAATTAAGAGAGCCAAATTATAAAATAACGTATGAGTAAACGAGTTTTATTGTTGATAATCAATAGATGACAAAAAATAATTACAAACATAGAAATTTAATTACAAAAATAGTGTTGCCAGGCAGACGATTCTGAATACCTGTAAAGTACTACTCGCTTCCATCACGCACGTGTTCGAAATTAATAAAAGTCATTATCATCTGCTTAGCTTTTTCCCCGAATTGTTCGGGGTTGGCTACCTAAGCCAGGCCAGAAGAAACGAAAATAAATAGGTAACTTGTAAAAAAAATTTGCGAGGCCCCCTCAGGCGCGGGGCCGTCGGCGGTGGCCGACGTCGCCGACGCCTAGCGCCGCCACTGTTCCGACGACACATTCCTGAAAAGGCTGCGAAACGTCAATAAATAAATAAAATCAGTGAATCTAATCCACTCACCATGTTTAGCTTGCCTCAACAGCCCGGCTCTGTCCAATATCCTGCAGGCTTCTAAAGCGCAAGCTATGACCGCTTCCTTCTTCTTGCCTCGATGTATAACTTCTGCTTTGACCGGGTTACCTCTAGCATCGTCTATAGGTAACTCTACCCTGGGGAAAATGTTTTATTAAGTCCACCTGGTTATACAATAGAATACAATACAATACAAAACACTTTATTGTACACCACAGAAAATATTACATTTAGTACAAAACCAATTTTTTCATTCATCATTCATCATCAGCCTATTAATGTCTGGAGCACAGGCCTTCCTTTTGGGTGGAATAGGGAGTTTGAGCCATGACCCACCACGCGGGCCCAGTGCGGATTGGCGGGTGCTAATGACTGCAGATGCAGCCGGGACCAAGGGCTTAACGTGCCTTCCGAAGCACGGAGTAACTCGAAATAGAAGATTTCCGGTCACCCATCCAATGACCGACCACTGCGAAAGTTGCTTAACTTCAACGATCGCAGCCGCTAATCACACTCGCCACCGAGCTCCTCAAAATCAATTAAAACTAGTGTAACAATGGGCGGCCTTATCACTAAGAGCGATCTCTTCCAGGCAACCTTTGGATGGAGAGGACTAGAAGGAAGTTGAAAAGACGGCGGCGTTAATCACAAGGGCGGATCCAGAGGGGGCGTCATTGGCGGTTAAGATCCCCTGTCCACCTGACCCCATGTCCCCCCTGGGCGAATAGCGCGCGCTTTCGCGACTTCCTGTTACACACTTCCGTCCCACTTCACGTAATCACTCCCACAAATGCGAACGCGTTACGCGTTACGAAAAGTGTGATCTGTATATATATGTATATATATATATATATATATGTATATATACAGGGTGAAATTGAATGTTTCTATGAAACTTCGTGAGATTGATGGGTTACATGTATAGAGTATGCCTGATTTTTTTCGGATTTTTTAAAATAATTTTTTTCGTTTTTTAATTTTTTATTTGGTTATTTTTTTCTCATTTCTTCCTTATGAGTAATTATTCATTTTAAACACGTCTACATAGAAGTTATAAAGCAACTTAAAATAAGCACTAATAAAAAAACGGAAACTTAATGAATGCCTTCATTATGCCTACAGTCGAGATCAGCGCCGGTCGGGGCGACGACCGGCGGCCGCCTGTAGGTACCTAACTACACGCACAGATGACTCGGCGCTTACCTACTCGCTTTGATCCACACTATTTAAAAACAATACAATAAAATAGTCTTAGATGCTATATTATAATTATTTATTCACTGATACACAATACCTTTGAATATTATTTCATAAAGCACAGGTAATTAATCAATGATATAAATCTTCTTAAAATTAAGAGCAAATCGGTATAACTTACGAGCTTAGGGAAGGAAGGAACTCTTCGTGTCTGATTTGCCCACGTCATGAAATTCCGAACACATTTAATCACAGCCACAGTCACACATACACACACACACACACATAATAATATGTTGTTTTGCGGCAAGCACGGGCGGGCGGCGCGCCGCACGCTGGCAACTAGCGCCGGTTGCGGCGTCTTTGATGATGTGAATTCCGCCCACCTCCCCTCTTCCCCGCACGCGGACGTTTGCTTTGATTGCATGCAAAACGCAGTCGCAAGTATATAAATCGCGCGTGAGCGTGCGCATCTTTTGACTTGGTGACATACACTGTGATAATTTCATTATGCCTCGGTATACAAACCAAGAATATTTAGAGATGGTGTACTGCTATCGCGAGTGTGACGAAGTAGGTTTGGTTTACGAATGAGTCCCTAAACCATAGAAGTTGCATTTTGTGCAGTGAGTAGTGATAGGGACACTTTAAAAAAGGTGAAAAGACACGTCCGCAAACAGGCAACCTTTGTTTGCAGCAAAATGGTGGTTTAGAGCAACAATTTTGCAGATAATAATTTAAGTCTCTTTTTATTGCTAGTGTAAATACTTTTTGATTAGAAACAACTAATTGTGTACTACCAGTGTGATTGATTTGATAAAAAGTTCTAGTGAAAAAAATGAATATGTTCCTCGTTCCTCGTTGTACCTACCTAAATCGCCGGTCTCGTAAGTACTTTTGAATACCTGGTTATAAATTTCATTCTTGGGGTATTAAGCAATAAGTATTTCTTTTTGTTTAACATTTGCCTATTTCCAATCGTGACAAAATTATTATTAACTTTTAAAGTTTTTCTCTGCTTAAGAAAAGATGACATTTGTGCTTATTATTTCAATTTCAATAAAGGCATCTAAGACGATTTTATTGTACCTATTGTGTGGAATCAAACGAGTCAGTTGAGCTCTGGTTAGAGTTAGGTAGCTACTTACTCAACGGCTGGCGGGCGCGGTCGGTCGTTGACCCGCGGTGGAATTTCAATGTTTTTCCGTTTTTTAGAAGTGCTTATTTATTAGTTGTTTTTCACTGGATATGTAAGTTTGTTTGTTTAAAATGAATAACTACTCAAAACGAGGAAAGGACATAAAAATACACAAATTATAAATAAATACATGAAAAAAATATACTTCAAAAAAATCCGAAAAAAGACAGGCATACTCTATACACATAACCCAACAATCTCACGAAGTTTCATAGAAACATTCAATTTCACCCTATATATATATATATATATACATATACAGTAGAACCCGTTTAATACGATCACGATTAATACGATTTCTCGCATAATACGCCATTTTCGTGTCGCGTCGCGTCAGTCCCTGCAACTTGACAGATGTTTTCATACATTTCTTAACGCTTAATACGATTCTTCATCCCGTTTAATACGCCTAAATCAATGAGAATGTGAATAACACACAAGAAGAAGCCCTAACTAAGTGATAATGATCAAGAAGAAGATGATTTTGCCACACTCCCAGGCATTATCAGCAGTTAATGATTTAAGACGCTATGTAACTTTTTTGAATAAAAGCGAAGAATCACTGCTAAAGTTAAATTATGTTGAAAATTTTGTAATTGCTAATGCCTCAAAATCTTTTTAAAAACTTAAATTACTGATTAATTTATATAACGTAATAATAATATTCTACATTTTTATAACATACATAATTCTTAAATATTGTACATACATTTAATACCTCAATACATACGAAATTTCCCTATCCCGCTTAATACGCTTTCCCGCTTAAGACGCGTTTTTGTATATATATATATATATATATAGATGGAACAAAAGAAGATTCACTTCAGTCGTGGTCATAAGCATACTCGGTTTTTTTATTTATTTAACAATACCTGCAAAGAAACTGCCCTACGCCTCTTTCTTCGCAGTCATAGTTCAAGTCATGGCCTTCCCTCTCGTAGTAGCCTCTCAATGTCTTCTTCGGGTCCTCAAGATACAACTCTTCGTTAGCCGTGCTAGCGTAAGGGTTTTCAGCCAAGTCTGGTTCCTCTTCAGCATCCTCACCTGTTAAAGAAATATAAATTAAATTAAAATGAATCAAATTTCAACTCATTTAAAGTTCTAATTACAAAGTAAGGTAGTGGCACCAATGACCGACATTCCCTTCCGTGATCAATTGAAATAATTGAAGGCAACCGATCCAAGCCGTTGGTCCCGGCTGCATCTGCAGGCGTTAGCACCCGCCAATCCGCACTGGGCCCGCGTGGTGGGTCATTACCCAATCTCCCTATTCCATCCATAGGGCAGGCCTGTGCCCCAGCAGTCAGGACATTAATAGGCTGATGATGACGATGATGAACCGATCAGTAAACATGTTTACACTGAGCGTTTATAGCTTGGTGTTATCATTAGCTGCGTTCGGTATTTGCTTCGGAGAAGGATTTTTAGTCACGTGTTTACAGATTAATCTGAGCACATGGTTTGACCAATCGAAGATTAATTTCTAACCTCAAACAGAAACAAACCTTACAACATGACAAATATATGACAGATAACTGATTATTCTGTTTCGGTGGTCAAAATAGTCCGAGCAAACAGATTTTACATCGGACTGATATGAGCGGAATTACCGAACGCTTCAGATTTACTCTAGATGTAATAAACGAAGGATTCAGACTAAAAGATTGATCTGAGGCAAATACCGAACGCAGCTCATGTTAACACCAAGGGCCTATAGCTCGGTATTACACACTCAACGACCCCACCACTCTTATTTCCCGAATGGCGTCGCTTTCGATTTTCACACGTGCTTTGTAATAGCCTAAACTGAATAAATTAATATTGAATTTGAATATCATTGATTAACAGCTTTGTCATCATATCGTCATTGTCTAATTTTGTATATAAAAAGCTAAGATTAATTTGTTCTTACATCTGATGGAAGCACTGCTTAATTTTTATAGAAAATTTGAGAACTAGATGTGATTATGGACCTGTCGAAATATGTGCTTTCGTAGGCCTATTCGCTAACCGCTTACGACAGTAGGAAGTGATAACCACCTAGCAATTTAGTGATCGACTGCTGCTTTATTATAACGCCATTAAAATACTTGTTCTGAAAAGCATCAATGGATTTAGTTGAAATAGTGTAAATTTCAAAAAAGTTAGCAATTTTTCTATAGTTATAATCTACTCATATATTTTTAAAACTCACCCAGTCCCCAATCTATCCCTTGCTCCTCTCTCTTTCTCTCCTCCTCTATTCTTTCTCTCTCCCTCCTCTCGATGTCCTCTGCTATCAACCTCTGTCTATCCAGCTTCATATTCAATGCTCTCTGTTTGATTTCTGTCACCGATAATTCTGATTCACCTTCACAATCAAAGTCTGGACCCTGTGAAAAAGTAAATTTTAAGTTATAATAAATATTTCCTTTGGGGCAGCAGAGCTAAACTATGAGATAATTTTTTTGTAATGCTTCAAATATATTGCTAGAAAAACCTTTACTCAGTCAAGTTTTTTAGACGGGATTCGATCCTTGTCTGATAGCTGAAGGGGTTCGAATCCCTAAAACCTGCACTTAGTGGAATCGTTTCTGATAATATTTTCTTCAGATTTAAACATCTACCAGATAAAAGCTAAAAAAATAATGTTAATATGTAGTTTAATATAATAATCAATATCATTGTTTAATAGAACAATAAAGTGGTCACCTACCAACATGATATAAGTCCTGGAGCTACTTCCGAATTTGATCTGATGTCCGACTCTCACCCGAGTGTAATGATTCGATTTTAAACGCTCCTTATTGAGAAACGTTCCGTGCGTACTGCCCATATCGTGGAGATACCAACCGCATGGAGGCTCTCCCTCCTCAGCGAACGCTTTGTATTGGAGAATGCAGTGGTATCTGGATATATGAAAGATCACAGTTGATTATAATAATTTTAAGGTATTATCGTTCAGGAAGTTGAATAAGAAAGCATGCCAGATGATTAAGAAACCTCTTCAGATATATACAGGATATCTTCTTTTTATAAAGTAAATGGAAAAATAATATTAGTCACTAAATTGATGACCAATAATTAATAATTACTTTCTAATGATATTTATCGCTAAACATTCTATGTGACACCACTCCGCTCAGTGGAGAAGATTAGAAACAGCATTTCTTCAAAAATACAAACATCAACTAGACATCCTGTAGAGGCTGGAGGAGGCCTTGTGTCACTGACATGCTACATTCATCACTAAAATTTTTAAATCATTGTTTAAAAACTAGTATGGGATGCAATTGAGCTGTGTGGAGCAGAAAGCAACCAGCACGCAAGCTTTTTGAAGCTAGTAAAAATTACTTCTGGTGGGCCAATGTTAAAGTTTTTGAAAGCAATGTAATATCGTATAGGTGTTGTAGGGTCCCCATGTAATATATTAGGATGTCTTAGAATCGCCTGGTGCTATGGTAGATCAGTTGGGGGCATAGTGGAGGAAGTTCTGTTGGTGGTGGGTTCGGTGGGGAGGAATGAGAGAGATGTTTTACAGACATATGTTTATTGTACAGCGTTGTGTTAGTAACTCTTTAGAATTATGTTAATATTATAATAGAACATAAGTGTTAAGTCAGCAGGATGAATGTAGCAGTCAATGATTATATGTTATGGTACAAGTCTAAATCCATACACCACAGCAGAAAAAGACCATTGATCAATGGAAGCAAACAAAATCAAACTTAAAATAGGTTCATAGAACAGATTTCAGTTCAAAATTTTATATTTTAATTGAATATTTCACTAAAAAAATGTCCACTGGTCGCATTCTGTTTAACAATGTTAATAAAGTACAAGAGTGTTGGAGTAACCTTTTTACCTGGATATAGTAGGATGTGCCATCACAACATCACAATTAGCAAGTCTCCCAAAAACGTAAAATGACTTTTTCGTCAAATCAATATTTTCAACAATCATGCCCGATTTCAAGACTTCCAAACCGTAATTTGCACCTGAAATATCATAAATTTGTTTTTTTTTAATAAAAACTTCATAGCTGAACTGAACTGAGGGCTTTTTGTTAAAAATAGCACATAGGTATCCAAAATCTACATTGCTGTTTAAATTAATTTATTGAATAACATGACATAATACAACATTTTTATTTATATATATAGTTCCGACAAATGACTCCACCCCACCTGATGTTAAGAGGAGGTGAAGTCCAGACGAGAAGATAGCTGATACAGCAGTTCTACCTGCCACACCAGCCATTCTCGCCCTGCCAGCCTGCATGTTGCTTCTTCACGCCTCTTTTAAAGGATCCCAGTTTGTAAGAGGGAGGGAGCACGTTAACATAATGAATTTGAGAGGCTTACCGTCTGGACAAATCCCTGACCACTTAGGCTCTTTATAAGGTATCGGTGTTACGGATTCCTTCTGAGTGACTGTTGTAGAAGAAGAATTATTTGGCTCCTCAGATTTCGTCTCTGTAGGTTCTGGCACTTTTTTATCTTCCGCTGCCTTCTCATGATCGTGTGTCACTTTCTTGGGAAGCTTTCCGATACGTCCGAAGAGCACTGGCTTTTTAAATTCTATTACTGGCTCCTGTTTTGGGGTTTCCTCCGATTTGGAATCATCCATTTTCCTCAGGTTTTTGGAGGTCTCAAAGCAAGTATGATGTAGCTAAAATGCTGCACTATATAAATAATTGTCCTAATGAATTCGTTTCTTTTGTTAAAACTATCAGTTTCACCAAAATCTACGTTTGTTTACTAAAAAATTGTTATATTCCATCCATCCACCATGGATGGATCGCCAATTCGCCACAGACAATAGCATTGACAGATCAGATGAATGTATACCTAAAGTGTTATTTTCGAAAATCGATCTTATCCCAACTGAATTTAGTCTATTTTATGTTGTCAAATGCAAAATATAGTTTTATCAGAGGCCTTTACAGTATATCCCACTAACAAAAACGAAACATCATTTAAAATGTTGTTGAACTGATAAAATTATGGTATCCTTGCCTTTGACTTCTTTTTTATTTATTTTACCTTGACTTTCTTCTTCTTCTTCTTCTTCTTTTATGATGGCTTGCGTTGTGACTTAGCACAGCTCCGCCAATGTCAAGTGATTTTACCTTGACTTTGTTGTCGGTCGTACAGCATTGACTTTACAATGGAACTTATGGATTTTACAACATTTTTATTTAATGTCGTCCTTCGTTCGATATGGTGAATTTCTAAACTAACAACTTACATCGACTAACATACTCACGGTATAAGTTATAAAAACTATTTTAATTATACTTGAACGCGTCTTTAAGTCATAGACAATAAAGGTCTTTTTCTCAGTGAAGTTGACACTTTTTATGTCAACGAATCAATCAAATTGATTGATGATTGAAAAAGTGATGCCAGTTAGGCATTTTGGCGGAAAATTTTGTTCGTGGTGAGATATAATCCGCATATCTTTTTTGATGGAATAATTAGCGGAAACAAATAAAACTTAGTGATTTTCTATCGACAGGGATAAAATAAATGAAATACTAATAGAGAGGCCTCCAAATAGAATTCATACCATGTGATAATTGATCATGCATTTGTGCCATTCTTAATTAGAATGAAATATGAGCCTACACTACGTTAAGCGGAAGCTCTAGTGGACATAAAAGAGTTAAAAGTACGAAAATTCATGGAAATATACACAGGATTTTACTTTACCCTATGACTATATGCTCATAAGCAAGCATGAATGAGTGACTGATGCAAATGGATGCGTGGTTTAAAATAGAAAGTCCATGTTTCGTTGTTTGGACTGGGTTAGCGGTTAAAGTCACACAAAAATCACGCATTTCGGAAATGTGTCCCTTTAAAAGTTCTATAAAAAATGTCTGGGTCAGCATATGTCCATCTTTTGAGTTTGACTCTTTATAACGTATTTCCTCAAATTAACGCGGGTGAAAGACTTATGGTAATGCGCACTTTTTTGTAGGTATTGATGTCCTCTATGAAACTGTAGTACACCACTTTGCACTATTGTTATTGAATTTCGCAACGTACGATATATAAGGTTATTTTTTGGTATTTTTTCACAAAGGACATTGGGCAAAAATGTATGGATGCTGCACCCACGTCGGCCACGGCTTAAACTACATTTTTTGAAAGGTATTATAGTCAAGATCATCTGTGCCAAAGCGCATCAAATTCCATCCCGGGGTCTTTAGTTATTTTAAGTTAAATATGTAGAAGTACTATAACGAACGAACATTAATGAAACAAGGGAATTAATTCAGTTAGTTAGTTCGACCCTACATAGGGTGCTCAGGAATTTTGGGAGTACTTCATAAGGTGCAAGGGTGCCCCCTTATGTTATTCTGCCGCGCTAGAGTAAATCCAAAAATCCCCGCATGGGTTGGTTTTTTTTAAACATTCTGTTCGTTATAGTAAATTGTCTTCTATGTAAAACGGAGCTACCACAGATTACACAAACTTGTCCACGCTTCGGAGAACACATAATTCCAGTTAATCCATACTAATTGACAAAACCGATAATCGTGTTCCAATATCCAAAGCGTGTTAGATAAAAATCAATCAAGTAGCAGGGAGCGCACAATCACAACGAAGTAAGACGAGTCGACTATTTGCAACTACAAGTCCTTCAGCATTCGTAAACCGTTTTGAAATGTCTCAGTAAGAGTAAGAAAGAAAGAAAGAAAAGAAAGAAAAATAAATTTATTTGAGACAACACAAACACAACAAACAGAACAAAACACACATATTTTTTTTGTCTCAAATCGGTCCCAACTCAGCATGTGTTGATGTTGCCATCAACGCTGGTCTTCCGTTGGAACCGTTTAAGTTTAACCGGTGAGCGCAGGATGGTCGGCAGGCGTTGTTGTATATCTGGTTGTATGGTACGATATTGCATATTATTATTGTTACAAATAATGTGAAATAAAGTGAATTTATTTAGCTACTTAAATATGCCCATGTGTCATATCTTTTGACTACCAGGATTTTTTTACGGTGTCGTATATTTTGACTCCCTGGATATTTATTTTCGCTGTCATAATAAAAAAGGCTAGTTTTTCATAGATCTATCGATTCATACTAATTACATTGTTGGCGGACCTGGGTGCGTTTTGCCCATTGTCCTTTGGTTACATTATCGAAGATTTCTTACGGAACCCTATTTTTTTGAAAATACTATATAGCTTGAGTTCATCAGGAATAATGTAGGATTCTAAATGTAAAAGAATTTTGCATATACGTCCAGTAGTTTCGGAGCCTATTCAATACAAACAAACAATCAAATCTTTCCTCTTTATAATATTAATTAGTATAGATATTCTTTACAATATAAGTGAAAAAATTATAACACAGACATTCACCTGCAAACATAAACACATGCACACACACACACACACAACCTAACACACAATTTATTTGCTAAATCAAATTTAGGTGTTTTTTTCTGAAAAGGTATAATTTTGGCGTAATTTTTTTTTAAACTGGCAGAAATTACAAATAAATTCATTTCTGGCAACCCTGGGTTGAATTGAATCAATCAATCAATCAATCAATCAATTCAAGCTGGTTTTTGTCAATCAATGGCAAACGAACGATCAAGGTGGAATTCGTAGAATCTAAATAATTTATCGCAGTGTCAACATTTTCGTCTAGTGAAATAATTAAAATTATTTGCCGTCCAGGGCGCCCAAGTACTTTTGACGTGTTTTGATTTTGTCCTAAGTGTTGTAGCACAGAACCTATACATATTGGAACATCGGACGCGCAAGATGTTTCAGTAATTTGATGTTATTTACAAATAAAACGCGTGTGCTTCACATAATAACATAATACTACCTGTGCAGTGTGTTTCCACCGCAGTGCTGGCGTTTCAGAATACGTAACATCCTTTTGGTGAGTGAATGTTATAGATTTCATTTAATATTCATAATCGTGATTAGATTCTTGCTCTGAGAGAAGTAATTTTCAGTGATTACAATCGTGTAAAAGTGAAAGTTAATTTCGTTATTATCTCTAAAATACAGCGGTTTATTGTTTGAGCAATAATTTCGATCACGATTTACCTTAAGTCAGGTTTTGTTATGCGGAAATTTATTTCACTAAAAGTGTGACTAATTTATATTGCATGCGGCTTATCAGTAATACTGGTCCCTTGGAATGAAATAAAACTTACCTGAACCGCTAAGTTTAAGGTTGCCTTGCCTGATTTGACTTGCAATTATTTATGTGCCAATTTGCATATGTATTTTTTTGGATAGAAATAATTATACCTTTATTTTTTTAATTAAAAAAAATCATGTTGTGCTACAAAAACCAGTTCTGAATGAGTCTGGTGAAAAAAATATTAGGTAGTGCAAATGAATAATTCTCTACTCTGATTGATATTATAAAATCCTTGTATTTTTCTATCATTTCACTTCACGTCAAATCAAATAGTAACATCAACAAAAGACAATTTATGCATATTAAAGTTGTCAGCTTTTTTATGAGTATATAACAAGTAATCTGCAATTATGAAGAGTAATTTTTGTCCTAAGTACAAAACTTCTTGCTAATTCACCTAGATAGTTTTCTTCCATTAGAAGTTAACAATCAGTTCTTGCTTATCAAACGAATAACCTTCGAAAAACCTATACCTATGAACTGATACCTATTAATACAAAAACTTTTTGTGGAGAGAATGGTAAAAAAGAAATATATGTATATATGCTACCAGCCAAACCCGATTTTAGGACAAACTAGTTTTGCCTTGGCTAGATCTTCCTGTACGCGATAGGATTAACTAGTATAGCCTAGTCCAAACTAATTTGTGCTAAGCCGATAGGATAAACCAGTTTAGCCTAAGCCAAACTAGTTGATCCTGATATAAATACTCAGACTCTAGGATAAACTAGTATAGCCTAGTCTAAACATTGTAGTATATCTAGAAAGTCAAAATAAATAGAGTAACTGAATAAAATACTCCGTAATTGGAAAAATAATATTTTTTATTAAAACGAGTTCAGGCACCAGTCTCACACAATGTATTTTATTGTTCTGATAAAAATTATAGTATAAAAAGTTGTCATGTAATTTGTAGATTGTGGAAGAAGAAATAAAGATTATTATTATTATTATAAAACAATCAAGTCTGTTCCGTTATATAAGAAAGGAAAAATGGTCCGAAAGAGTCCTAAGTTTTTGGACGACTGTCTCTTTTAAACAATTGTCAGTACATAATCTTTATTTTTTGTCTCTGTGGCTTTCTCCGTTTTACTCAGAATTTTCACCAATGTGCCTTAGTGAGAGAGACACGAGAAAGACTGCTTGTTAGAAACAGATTATGGTGGTATTAAGTCTATAAATAAATAACTAAATATCAGTTCTTATTCACTTTTCTGAATACACAGCACACACATAAAAATGTCACAGGTTAATAATTAATTTACCTACATGTCAAGGGTAGAGCAAACAATTATCTTATATTATATTATATAGAGGAAAGATTTTATTGTTTTGTGTGTTTTGAATAGACTCTGAAAGTACTGGAACAATTGGAAAAAAAACCATGTTTCAGATTTTTCATCTATAGAGAATTCATCTCTATTTTCTTACTTTTATGTGTTATGGTATTCCAATACTAAAAACGTGATGCGATGCGACGCTTCGTGCCAGTGTGAGTTGAGCCTTAGGGGCCAGTGTTCATAACTTGAAGCAAGGCAACTATCGTACCAGTAGCGTAGAATTATCGGACATGGAGCAAAATTATCGTATTTTTTAAAATAATCACTATAATTAATAAATAACTTGTATTAAACATGATATCAATATTTTTATGTATGCTAAAC